ATAAATGAACATTTTTACTCTATTGGACATTTTGAATTGGGAAGAATTGGGGTTGGGACGAATTGTGCATGTATGTGCTCAGACAAAATGCCAATTTACATTTCGTCCATTTAGCCTGTTTTTCGGCTCCAGGACATATAGACAATGAACACTTGAACAGTAAACAGCGGAGTGGACACTTGGGAAGCAAGGAAGATGATTCAAGTTTTGACAAAATTATAAAAATAAACAAAGCCGAGTTGACAATGAGTCAGTAACACCAAAATTAGCATGCTCTGACTTAATTAATTAATAAATATACTCTTTCCCTTTTGACCTTTTAGTTTTCCATTTCTGACCATTATATAATTTTCCCATTTATTGACCATTTATTCTTTTTTTCTGTTTGCTATGAGCTGTCTGTTAACGGATTTGAACCACTGTGAAACATAAATTATCGTGGGTTGTCTGTATGATATTTTTCATTTTTGAAATTAATTGATAACTAGATTGGCAATATAGTAGACGTTTTTACATAGACATTTTTTATTCTTTAATTTTGAGAATGATTTAAAGTTTTTGGTTATTTATTTGATTTTATTGATTTTTTCTTGAAATTAATCGTTTCTTTTATTTTATAATTTTTTAGCTTTTATCTAATATATAAATTTTAAAGTATTAGCTTGGCGCATCAAAATATTTTTTAAAATTTCTTTTGCGCAACTTATATACTAAAAGACTCTTTTACTTTCAATAAATCCCCGTCTAAAATAAATGGCTGCAGTTGTTTCTCAAAATAGTAGCAAAGTATGTTTTTATTAAAAATTTCCTCAAATTTTGTTTTTTTAAAGGAATTTATCGTTGGAATTAAATATAAACTTAAAAGGAAGATTGGGAGTGGTTCTTTTGGTGACATTTATCTTGCAATAAACATACAAAATGGTGAGGAGGTTGCTGTTAAGTTGGAATCAGTGAAGGTTTGTTTGGGGGGTATTTTGGACTTTCAATGCTTCTAATTTTTATTTCTCCCTACTTTTTTTGTGTTTTGCCTCTGGCAAAAATCAGTCAAAAATGATTATTTTAAAGTAATTGTTTCATCATTTAGTGCTTTGGCCTCCACATTATTTCTTTAAGTCCAAGCCTCTTGCCATGTTCGGAATCGTTATTCGAACAGTTTTTCGTGATAATCGGAAATGAGAATGTGACGCTTCTCACAATTCTCGTTTCCTTATTTAATTGTTACTTTCTGATTAATCTTGACTTTTTATTAAAATTTCCAGTTAATACTTTTTTAACTTGTTTGAAGTTAATTTTTATTTTTAATTTAGGCTCGTCATCCGCAATTACTTTATGAAAGCAAAGTCTACAAGATTTTACAAGGAGGTGTTGGTATTCCACATATTCGTTTTTATGGAATCGAACGGGATTACCATTGTCTTGTGATGGACTTGTTGGGACCTTCACTTGAAGATCTTTTCAACTTTTGCAGTCGACGTTTCACTATGAAGGTTTTTTAATAAAAAGGGGAATAGTTTTGTAACATTTTATTTCAGACAGTTTTAATGTTGGCCGATCAAATGATTGGTCGAATTGAGTATATGCATGTCAAAAACTTCATTCATCGAGTATTTTTTTCAATTCATTTTATAAACTTTCCTCTCTTTCAGGACATTAAGCCAGACAATTTTTTGATGGGAATTGGACGTCATTGCAACAAACTCTTCATTATTGATTTTGGGCTTGCGAAGAAATATCGTGACTCGCGCACTCGAATTCATATCCCTTTTCGTGATAATAAAAACCTCACCGGAACTGCTCGTTATGCGTCTATTAATGCTCATATGGGTTTGTGATTGAATTATTGGGAAAGAATCACAATTGGGTGGGGAATGTGTTTACTTCTTTTAAGGTATTGAACAGTCGCGTCGTGATGATATGGAGTCTTTGGGTTATGTGCTTATGTATTTCAATCGTGGGAATTTGCCGTAAGAATATTTGGCTTTTTTTAATTTTCACACTAATATTTTATCTTTTTTCTTAACAGCTGGCAAGGATTGAAGGCAGCCAATAAGAAGCAGAAGTATGAGAAAATAAGCGAAAAGGTATTTTTAAATTTTGGGGATTTTTTAAATTTATAAAGGTGTGTTATATGTTCATTAAAAACTTTTATTAAATACCTAATTATTTTTAACTTTTCTGGAACCAAATGAAAATTTATTGAAATTTTTAAGAAATTTATTCCCATAAGCAACATTCAATTTCTATTGTTTGCTAAAATTTCTTTTTTAAAGAAAATGTCTACACCAGTGGAAATTCTATGTAAGGGCTTCCCTTCTGAGTTTTCTATGTATTTGAACTACTGTCGCGGGTTGCGTTTTGACGAGGCGCCTGATTATATGTATTTGCGCCAGCTATTTCGCATTCTCTTTCGCACACTGAATCATCAGGTTTCTTTTATTTTTCAAGGCTCTAGAGGTGGGCGTAATACCAGTAATGATTACTTACTCGTGATCAAATTAGTTAAGTGGTTGAGCAAAATTTAGGCTTCTGAATTGTAAATATTTTTGTCACCAGGATAATAATGCCGCTGGTTTCTTTATATTCTGGCATGGGGGTATAGAGTTGAAACTGAATCGATGATTTTTCGGTTCGGCTCTCGGTTTTACACCTGTCATTTTCATTTTTTCACATTTCCCTTCTATACATTCTTGTTAAGATCCGTTCACCAATTTGTAAGAAGTTATCTAATATTAAATAAATTAAAATTTTAAGTATGACTATACCTTCGATTGGACTCTTCTTAAACAAAAGGCTACAATGAACAATCCAAACACGAGTGTTACTAACCAAACAGACGGAGCAGGAGCGTCAGTACAGCCACAGCAATGAATATAGTCTCGGCAACCGTTTGTTCATCGTAAAAAGAATAAAAAATGCTTCTCTTTTAAGAAAATATCAAAGATCAAAAACCTTAACCGAAAGAAATCATGAAACTTTTTTAATCCTAAAAAATCTTTGACTTGATTAAAATTTAATTTTTTTTTCGAAAAAACGCTTAAAAATAAGTCTCATTCGGTTATGGTTCCGCAGTGAGATTAAAATTTGTCGTTATTTGCTTAACCTTCATCTCCCATATATTTTTTCAGAGTATCAAAAGACTTGAACATTTTTAATAATGGATCTAAATTTCATTCTCTGTACTTTTATGTTATTCTCTACCATTTAGTTTTCCTGACCTTCCTTTTCCAAAAAAGTACTTTCCACTGTAAGTCCACGTCGTAAGTGGCCAGATGTTGTAATTAGAACTAATGCCAACGTTGGGTGTGTGTACCACGACTATCTGCAATAAGTTCATTGTTTTATCATAAAATTTTTTGGAAACGAGAGCTCTAATCAAGTAAAGTTATGATACACACAATACTGGACCATAGGTTCTAAACAGCCGGGGCTCCTTTTCTGCTGAAAGAAGAAAACTAAATGTTGGGAGATAACATAAAAGTACCCCATTCTTTTTTATGCAAGGGATAATTTATCGTGTTTTAGTCTTTTGGTTATTTCTCTGATTGCCTTTTCCTATCACTCCATAAAATCGCATATAACTATTTTGATCTACAGCGGCAGCTTTGCACATTTCTCTCTCCTATGTAGAACACACCTTGTATTTGGATGAAAGACGTATTTTAAAAAATGAGTGTAAACTACAAAATTTTTGATTAATACTTTTTATCAATACATAATTCTCATTTAATCTGTACGTCATTAATGATCCAAAAAAACTTTGATTTTTTGTCAAGAGTTAAATGCTATCATAAATTTGAATAACGAGACGTTTTTGATTATTTTATAAAGTTAAGGAATTATCAAAATATTAAGTTGGTAGCCATTTATTCTTCCTATGTACTTGATATTAAGGCAACCCCGATTACCTACTAACAGCTTTGAGATTGCTCTATTCTACCCGTCAAGTTCGATGCTATATTTCAAAATGCTAAGCGTGGCGGTTAGTAAAATTCTCTCTTGGAAGTTCTTCGGAGTCGAATTATTCATTGATGTTGTTATAAGTTACTTTATATTTCGGTGTTTTGGAATGACCGTCGTGCATCTAGTATAAAATCGCTCTCCACCTCCGGGTTTTACAGTTGCTCTACTCTACACTTCAACGATCGACAACATCTCTTCAAGGATGGCAGTATCGCTCGATCCGGAGTCAATTCAGGTGCCCGCTGCAGGAGGTGAAATCACGCTACAGCTGAAGAACAGCAGCGCTGAGGTATGCATCATTTTATTTAGTGTTTAGGGCTTCTAATGTAGTTTAACCATCTCGATTTTTACAGGGTCGCTATGCCTTCAAGGTCAAGTGCACCGACAACGATCATTACCGTGTCAACCCCGTATTCGGTTTTGTCGACGCGTCCGGTAATGCTGCGGTTCTTGTGCGTCGAACGGTGAAAGAAGGCAAAAGATCATATAAAATAAATTTTTGTTTCTTCAGGAAGGCCCTCCGAAAGCTGATGGTCGTCTGGAAGTTCACTTCATTCCTGCTCCAGCAGATGCTACTGAAGCAAAGGCGCTGTTTCCTACTGGAAGTTCGTCGGAGTTCAAACTGAACGTGCCGTTGATCGCAGAATAAGTAGCAAAGAGGAGGAATGATCATCAGCCGATTGGATAGGAACATGCTGTTGGATAGTAAATGTGATAATAATTCGATTATCCTCGTTCCATAATAATTTGCCTATTGTTGTACATATGTATTATTACCTTGTTTTTGTTTGTATTGTAAATAAAACCTGTATATAAAGTTATAATGGTGTGTGTGAAAGAATTTAGTAAAAACGGCTGCTAACGGTTCTAAAATTTTGTCGGTTTTGAGTTTGGGAGTTCCAAAAGTTTGACGGAGTTAAGCTTTTTGTCCAATTAAGCTTTTTGTAACTTCCTCTAAGTACATATAAAAGCGCTCTCCATCTCCGGGTTTTACAGTTGCTCTACTCTACACTTCAACGATCGACAACATCTCTTCAAGGATGGCAGTATCGCTCGATCCGGAGTCAATTCAGGTGCCCGCTGCAGGAGGTGAAATCACGCTACAGCTGAAGAACAGCAGCGCTGAGGTATGCATCATTTTATTTAGTGTTTAGGGCTTCTAATGTAGTTTAACCATCTCAATTTTTACAGGGTCGCTATGCCTTCAAGGTCAAGTGCACCGACAACGATCATTACCGTGTCAACCCCGTATTCGGTTTTGTCGACGCGTCCGGTAATGCTGCGGTTCTTGTGCGTCGAACGGTGAAAGAAGGCAAAAGATCATATAAAATAAATTTTTGTTTCTTCAGGAAGGCCCTCCGAAAGCTGATGGTCGTCTGGAAGTTCACTTCATTCCTGCTCCAGCAGATGCTACTGAAGCAAAGGCGCTGTTTCCTCCTGGAAGTTCGTCGGAGTTCAAACTGAACGTGCCGTTGATCGCGGAATAAGTAGCAAAGAGGAGGAATGATCATCAGCCGATTGGATAGGAACATGCTGTTGGATAGTAAATGTGATAATAATTCGATTATCCTCGTTCCATAATAATTTGCCTATTGTTGTACATATGTATTATTACCTTGTTTTTGTTTGTATTGTAAATAAAACCTATATATAATGTTATAATGGTGTGTGTGTTAAAGAATTTAGTAAAAACGGTTACTCAGCTCCGGCTGCTAACGGTTCTAAAATTTTGTCGGTTTTGATTTTGAAGAGTTCCAAAAGTTTGACGGAGTTAAGCTGTACTTACACTTAACACTTTCTTGAACGCAACTCTGGTTTAAATAGGTGACAATAACTCTCACCGTAAATAAAAGATTTAAAAAAAATCATTAAGGATCTTAGCTCAATTCATCATAAATATTTTGGAAAATCCGATCACTAGTATAGAACTTACTGTGGTGATGAAATAGTTGCCTAAAATATTTATATTTCAAAACAGTTTGTTAAAACGATTGTCTTTATTAGTACTGTAACAGTAAAATAAAATCGATTGTGACAATCAGACAAAATTTTTAGAAATTGATTTTTTATTTGATTTTCTTACTTAATTTATCGCATTTAGATTTTATCTTGTTTAATTTGTGAATTGTATTGTTGAAATTTGCTTTAAACTCCCAATGAACGGAACTATGACAGAAACCACTGACGGCACTGCACCGTCTAATGGGGAAACATCGGATGAATTGCAAAAGTTTTCACAAAAAGGTGAATTAAACGATGACTATTCGGTAACTGAATATTCCTCCTATCAACAACCACAACAAAACCAAGGCTTGATTCTAAAAAAATAATATTTTTTTTTGTTCTTTTTTATTAACCTCTTTTTTATTGTTAAGATGCTGCTTGTTACCTTCGTTGTCGTGGACTTCCCTATTCTGCATCGGAGAGTGACGTTAGAAAATTTTTTGAAGGTTTAAAATTGGAGATTTACTTTATTTTTTTATAAAATTTTTTAGATTGGAATGTTGTTGAAGTTAGTTTCACAAGTAGCATTGATGGAAAGCCTACTGGTGAGTGTTATGTGCAATTTGGAACTCGACAAGAGGCTTCTGATGCTCAATCTAAAGATCGTCAAACAATTGGCAGCCGTTATATTGAAGGTTTTTGAAATATTTTATTCGTTTTTTGGAAATTAAATTCTTTTTAAGTTTTCCAAGTAAGCGATATTGAAATGGAGCAACTGATGAAACGTTTACATATGAAACGCACTATGGCAACTAAAGGTTTTGTACGTGTTCGTGGACTCCCTTATACTTGCACAAAAGACCAAGTCCAGCAATTCTTTCAAGGTTTGATTTTTGAGTTCTATGAAATGTTTCTCTTTGGGCTTACCAGACCACCCTAAGAGTTTAAATTGGTTTGGTTGTAATGGTCTATGAGTGTGAAAATTTTTATTCTTGTGTTAAAAATTTTCGTGCTTCGACCGTATTTTCACTAATTGCAAATTATTTTTGGTACTTATTGGTTTTTACTACGAATTCTTTTTTATTATGTCAATGTAGTCAGAAAATGTTCTTCAGTTATATTTTTATAAAATGTTTTTGATGGAAATGATTTCTTCAAACAAAAAACGTGTTTAATTTAACTCTATCAAAAATTTTGATTAAAAATTAATATTTTCTTTCTACATTAACATAATTGTAGAATAAAGGGGTTGTCTAACAATAAGTCTTTTATTGCATTTAGTGTGAATACGGTTCTCAAAATATTTAGTTAAAGAAAAATTGTTTTTGCTCAGGGTTGACAGTGGAGGAAGTTGTCTTTGGGAAGGAACCCGGGCTAGAGGGGCGACCAACGGGAGAGGGGTTTGTGAAATTCGGCGCCTCCGAAGAGGCAGAACGGGCTTTGCAACTTAATGGGCAACATATGGGGACAAGGTATGGATCAATAATTTTTGATGTTTTTGTCGGTTAGCTGCTCTTTTTTTCTTAAATTGTTTCATTCTTTCCTGGAATATCGGAGTCTATTTTCTATTTTTATTCACTTGATTTGGATTCTAACTTTGATTTTTCTTGAATCTAATCAAGGTTGCCAACTGAAATCAATACATCTTTTTTATTTATCCAGCTATAGACACTGATCATTTTGGTATCAATGTCTAAATTATTTTATTAGATAGAGAATGATTCAATTTTAATTGAACTCAACTTGTATCTAAAATAAAAAAAAAGTAAATTTAAAAAAATTGAAGACTCTTTGGTAGGAATTTATTTTATTTTCTTACCAACTTTCCTATATTCTCTGATGTTTCTTATCTTTTCTATATTAATTTGATACTACATTGCTATAATTTAAAATTTTTAGATACTTGGAAATATTCAAAAGTGATGGAGCCGCGTTTGAAGCTTTTAAATTGCGTTCACAAAACAATATTGTCCCTTTGAAAGCTCTAGCACAGTCTACTCCAGATTGGGGGCCTGGATATGGTGGTGGATATGGCTATGGCGGAGGCGGATATGGTTATGGACCTGGTCCCGGTGATCATTATGGTGGTGGATATTCATTTGGGTATGGGTTTTGTTTTGTATTTTAATATGACAAAAAAAACGTTTCGTGATTTTGAATGAGTTATTCCATTAAAAAATACTTTTTAGTTCTGGTTATGAACAACGTGGTGGAGGCGGACGCCCATATGGAAGAGGATATAATGGTATTTTTATTATATTCAGTAAAGTCGTCTAATAATGACGTTTGGTCCTGACTCAAGCCTTTTCTTTTGGGTTTTTCAGTTTGGGGTCAAGTCATGGTCTCCACTATTTCGAGATGTTTGTAAAAGTTATCGATGGTCGGAATAAATGAATTTCCCATATTTTTTACTAGGGACCAAAAAAGAAACTGAAAATCAGCGTTACTATTCAGTTCTCAATAATTCTTATTTTAGATGCTCCTTCTAATCGCTATTCACCATATCCCAACTATGGTGGAGGTTACGGTTATGGCGGTGGAGGGGGAGGAGGAGGAGGTCGTCATGGTGGGCGAGGCAATCGAGGTGGCGGTGATTATCGGGGTGGATATGATGATGGTTATGGTGGTGGAGGTTATGGGGGCGGTGCTGGATATGGTGGTTATCAAGATAGTATTGTTGGGCCTACTAAAGTATTTTTATACATTTTTTCGAAAAAATTCAAATATTTTTTGCAGGTTTATATGCGTGGTATTCCATTCCGAATTACTGCTGCGGAGCTTGAACGATTTTTTGCACCTTTAGTTCTTGTTGACATACAGGTTTTTATAATATTTTTAGTTGTAAAATAATTCTAAATAAAATACTTCTAAAGATTGGAGCGATGCCTGATGGCCGGTCAAGTGGTGATGGTATTGTTGAATTTCAAACACCGGCAGATGCTCGCCAAGCTTTAAGCAAAGATCGCGAGAGCATTGGATCTCGGTATATAAATTTTTTCCAAATTTATCAATGTGTTTTTGTAGATATATTGAACTATTTCCAACCGTTAACGCCAAAATTCCGTCTCATGTGAATTATAACAGCATTGGCGGGAAAGGAGGAGCACTACCACGTGCTGGTGGTGCTGCAGCTGGTGGTGGTTCGGAGCTTTCAGCGCCATCTCAGCAATATGTATCGGTTTTTTAATACATACCAGTTGTGCCCGAACTTGCCTTCATTCTTGAAACCTATACGAATTTACATTTTAAAAAACTGTTATAATTTTGGAGTTTTTTGTTTCCTTCTGTACAACGAGAGAGTACAATAGAAAGGTTTCAAGAAGTCATTTAGGCCATTCAATAACATGTAGCTCCACGTGCTGTAGTAACTATTTTTCGTTACAGGGTCAGTATGGACAATATGGCAGTGACTATTATGGATATGGCGGTGCCGGGTATGGGGGAGCTGCTGGTGCTGGGTACGGCGCTTCTGCTGCTGCTGGGTATGGTGGTGGAGCTGCACAAGATGTCAAACCTGTTGATTACAATTGGTAAAAAAGATTTTAAAAATTTCAGTAATAGTCACTTGTGGGTCTTCATATTTTGTTTCTTTCAATTCCTCTACATATTTTTCCTGGTGTTAATTTTCACTACTATTTTTTCCTAAAATAAGAAAGGAAGGAGAAATTAGGCCCATAAACGTGTAATTATTACCTAATTTTTTGGTTAAAAATTTAAAACGATTTATTAAAGGCCAACTGCACAGTACTGATAGAGGAGGAAAAAGAATTGGTAAAACAAATTTTGGAATCTGAGAATATTTTCCTGGAATTTACTTTTCTTACTTTTTGAACTTTTTAATTATATAAACCTCTTTAAGTCCCAACAAAAATTATAATATTTTTGTTCCATTTCCTAATTAATACAAACAGTTATTTTTCCATCATTTTAAAATGTTTCTTTTTTCATCTCAGAATTTCTGACATATTTATTTAGTTTTTGATTTTTGATGCTTTTATTTTAGCTATCATTTAATTGTTTATGCAATTTAAGATAAAATATTTTGGTTTAAATTTTGTTATTGGGGGGAAATATTTAATAATATTGGGAAATTTTGTCAATATAATTAATTAAACTTGTTAATTTGGGGGATTAAATTTAATTTCATACCTAGACGAAAGCCCGTATTTTACCAGAATTATGTAAATACACTTTTAAGATATTTGGCTTTTGTTTGGTTATAATTTCAACGGTTTAAGCCTCGAACTTTGAGTTAAAATTGGACTTCATTGATTATGCATATAATATATGTACATATGTATTTTATGCGAACAGATTATTAAATTTGTTTACAAAATTGGGAAATTGTTGAGGTGGTCCCTGATTATTTTCATTTTCATCTCTAATCGATTTCAGCAATACAATGTTTAAATGTTTATCAATTTTTTTCTTTTTTTCATTTTATAGCTAAAAATTATTAATGAAATTAAAATTGAGTTCAAATTAAGTTACAGGTATTTATGATAGATAGCTGTAATGATTTTTGCTAATAGAGGAACGACGAAGGTTTTTCTTCTGCTAGTTCATTAAATATGCCTTATTCGTGACTTTAGCTACTTTAGTTTAGATCCGATAAACCATAAAAAAGTTTTTTTTGTTGATTAACTAAGAAGAAGAGGGCATTTAATGTTTTATTTAAATTTTGTTTTCCACGTGGTTAATTGAAGTTAAAGGAGAAAAGAAACTTAAAAGAAAAAAATTCCAGAATATGCCCATTAATTCATTTTACTTATCGTTAATGGCCCTTAAATGAAATTTTTGTCTAAACAAATAACTTTAAGGGACAAACATTAAAAAAACTTTTTAATTTTTATTTTCGGCATTAAAATGTCAAAAACAATTTTTATATAAAATAATTTGAATTTCTTTGCTTTTTTACTTTCAACTCCTTTAAAAGTAATTTACAGATTTTAAATGACGATTTTTTGTAAAAATCTTTCCTTAGTCACAGTCTGAAATTATTTACATTTTTTAAGAATTTCCCCCAAAAAATAATTTTTTTGGAATATTAAAATACTACTGAGAATGAGTTCTTCAACAGAACAAAATCGACGAAGATTTGCTTCTTCACCTTTCACTTGGCGTTCGCAGAGTGCGCCGAACCGAGATAAATGGTATAGGAGAGGTAACTTTTATTGTAACAAAAGGTTGACTAATAAAAATTAAAAATTAACTTAAAAAGGCCCACTTTCTCGTCAACGAAGTAGACAAGAATCTTCTGGAGGAGAATCTTCTCAAATTTTAGATCATATGGTGTCACGCCGTTTAGTGAGTGCAATTGCTGCATGGCATGATTTACATGTTTCTCTTTTACAACTTTCAATGAGTAGAGCAGAATTAAATAATGTTGAAAGGAAGGAGGCAAAAAATTAAAAATTTTTTTTTGAAAAAATAAAAATTTTAGATAGAAAGGAAATTAACAATAAGAAGACGTGATGGAAGTGATGATAGTTCATCTCCATCGTTAGTCGGCTCTAGACGACCCTCACAAAGAGGGAGAGTTGAACAAAGGAGAATATCTACAAAAATACGCAAAGGTTGTTCAAAAAAAAAAAAATTTTGAACAATATGTAATGTTGATGAAGTAATTCACCAGTCGGGATGGGGGGGGGGGGAGATTATTGGTGAATAACAATTTTATTTAGGAGAACTTTGAGGATTAATTGGGGTCCTGACTTTTGCTGTTTCTGTTATGGGTTCTGTCAATTAAAAGTACGTGAGGGATGAAACAATTTAGAGAGGGGACAAATGAGAGATACCGTAGTGGACAAAAGAATAGTGACAGGTCTTAAAACTGAACAAATATTCATCCAAACAAAAATTTTACTTTAATTATTCTTTTTAAAGTCCCTTCAATTCGCCCAAATTTACTTTGTCCAAAAACACAAATTGAACAAGTTTGTCATCATCAAACAACAACATCATCCCCGTCTTCTTCTTCATCCACCTCTTTATCTTATCTCTGTTCGACAACAACAAATGACAGCCAAAATAAAAAATTAGAAGAAAAAATAAATGAAAGATTTAATGATGAGGAGGAAATTAAAAATTCTACAAAAAATCGAAGTAATTCATTTGGACATATTCAAAAAGGAAAATCAAAAGAAGAACATTCATTAATTCATCAAAACACTGAAAATAATGAATTACCAACAACTTCTTCCCCTCCAACTTGGACTGCTACTTTTGCACAAAGTTTGCAAATACGTTCATCATCAACGCGAAGACGTATTCGATCCCCACGACCTCCTGCTAAACACATTCTTATATTGAAGCGTAAGTTTGTTTGTTTTTGATTTTAGATTAAATAGAGTTAAATTCAGTATAAGAACTGAATAAAAAATTAAAAAATAAATAAAATTCAGTATAAAATATAGAGCAGGGGTGCCGTTTCGCTTTTTAAAATCTGTTTCGGCACACCCCTGATATTGAGGTAAAAATTTTATCTTATGATGGTAAATTGAGATCTTTTGGTTATTTAAGTGAAAATAATTAAGGCAAACTCAAATATTTAAGCGGCTTATTCCCGAAAGAACAAAAGAAAAAGTTTCTTTTAATGACCTTAAAAAGCAACAAATATCTGAAGAATTTTTTTGATTATTTTTACTAAATAATCATACCCTCCTTATCGATTTTCTGTTAAAAAACTTTAAAAATATTTGAATTGAACGGGAAAAGGAATTAGTTATTTATCTGTTCGGCGAATATCTTAAAAAAGACTATTTATTTTATTTGGATCTTTGGGAAAGAGAAAGAAGGGTGCTCTTTTATTTATCGAACCAGTCTGTTTGTAAAAGTGAAAGAAGGGGGGGGGGGGTAATCGAATGTTTGTGTGATTTGGGAATTGATTCATCTTTAAAAAATATTTTTGTAAGGAAAGAAAGGAAAGGTCTTTGTGCTTATTTTATTGTTAATATTAATACAGAAAATAATAAAAATAAATTTAATTTTAAATAATTTAAACAAAAATTAATTAAAAATATTATTTAATCTACTACAATTTAATATTCAATTTTTTAATAATGAAAACTTATTATGTGCTGCATTGATTTTTTATTTTTTCGATTATTTAGTAAAAGTGATTAGAGCTAATCCCCTTATTATAAGATACACTCAATAATACATAATACAATTGAGGGGAGGGGGAGGGGGGGGGGGGGAAGAGGGGAGATGCAATTTTTTGATTAACTAAGAGAGGGTGTATCTTAGACTATATAAAATTATTTTTTCTTTTTTCAATTTCCAGATAGTGTTCAATTACTCGAACCAAAAACTCAAGGAATTGAATGTATATCCTCTACAAATACTTCAAATCAATCAACAAACTTTAAAGAAAATAAACAAACATTAGAAACAACAAATTCATTAAAAAGAAGGGGAAAAAGGAGGTGTTTTAGTGTTGCTAAATTGGATGAAAATAGAAAACAGACTGTTAGTTAATTTGGAATCTAAAAAAAAATCTGAAAAAAAATATACAAAAATTTAGAAAAGTTAAATTCACTTTCAGGGAAATGTTTTTAGTATTTCCCTTTGTTTAACGGATATTTCACCTCCCATCGAACATATGTAGGCTAACTTGGTTACGGCGTAAAGCCATAACTTACTTCAAGATTTCCGAATCTTATCAAATTTAGTATTAAACAATTCCTCTCATCGAGCTAAAGAGATTGGTACCAAAATTGATAAAGGCCGGAAATTTTCCAGCAAGTTATGGCTTTGATCCGTTATGGCCGCGCGCCAACTTGGTCTTGTCCCTGATTTGATATAAAATTATAAAAATAGTTTATTCAAATGTTTTTAAATTAATTTTGGGTCCCTCATTAAAAAATAAAATAAATTTTTTTAAAGAATTGCCAAAAAATAACAAATACAAGAAGAAGGCAATTTAGTTATCAAAGTGAAGATACCGACAATGAAAAAATAATTAATAATGAATTTAACAATAATGATGAACTTTTAACAAGTTGTAGTAGTGGAATAATTTCTGAAAATGAATTGGATGTAAATTTAAATTTAGAAAAATAAAATAATTCTTTTTTTTAAGGTAATTTATAATCAAGAAAGAATTCATTCTCTTTCAAGTCCAGAATTATCCCCAGATGAATTAAAACAACTTTTTCCAGAACTTAGCGATCATTGGCGGTAGGTTTGTGTTGACAAAAATTAATTTAAAAATTATTTTTCTTTTATTAATTATTCTCTTAAAATGTTCACAAATTTTATTCGCAAATGTGAATAAAATTTGTGAATTTTTTTCCTTCAAAAATCTCTTTAATCTCTTTAATTTTGTCTAATATTTATTGAGTGGGCATATATATTTACATGTGGAAGGATTTGTTGCTTTTGGTAAGAATTTTTTATTTTAAAAATTAACTTTTAAATTATTAAATCCCTTAAACTAAACGGAAAATTTAAAGAGAAAATTTTTGTTAAATAATTACCTATTTTTAATTAAAAAAAATAATTAAAGAACTCCTTCCTCTCTTTAAGGGAAATAACCACAAAAACTTTTTTTAATTAGGAATTTTTCTTTTTTTTAATTAAGCAATTTTTTATCGAATATTTTTTTGCATTTTAATTAATTTTATTTTTTAATTTAATTTGAATTTTATTCAATCTTTTTCTTTTATTTTTTTGTGTTTTGCCCAAACTCCAAAAAAAGTTTTTACCAATTTCTTTTTTATTTGTTTTCAAATTTTTGCAAAAACTTTTTTCTTTCAATTCACGCAATATATCCTTTTAAAAGCATTTATTTAATTCTATTTTTATCTAATAAAAACGGAAAATGATGTAAATAAAATTAAAAAATAATTTTTTTTTGGTTTTATAAAGATTAATTCTTGCTGGGTATCCGAGAGGGAGAAAAAAAGTTTTTTAAATTTATTTGGGTCAATTCAAGTCCATACATATTTCTTTAATCTTGAAAAATTAAATAATAAATAAATGATCAAAAATATTTTTACGAAACAATTAAAATTAAGTAGAGAAAAGGAGAGAATTAATTAATTGATATTTGGACAGCAAAAATGTCTGTCGGACCCCATAAATAAAAATAATTTTTGAGAGAGTGCGCGAGGGAAGAATTAAATAAAAAATATTTGTCTTAAAAATAAAAGAGACAAAAAAGCCAATATATTTACTCTAAATTATTATTAAAAAATATTTTTTTATTTAATCCTTGGAATGGTGTAGAGAGGGAGATAAAAGAGGGGAATATATATTTTTAATAGAGCTAATGCGTTGCGTAATTGAGCGTGTTTAGAATTAGTTTTTGTGGCATTTTAGTTGAATATATTTACTTTTATTTTATTTTAGAGGATGTGGCAAATTCGCTATATTTTTTTGTTTTCGGCTTAACTAAAAATAAGTTAAAATTAATAATTCCTTTTTTTATTAGATTTCCAACAAATTGTTGGTAATAAATGTATCAGAGTTAATAAAAAAACGTTCGAATATTTGGGGAAGTAAAAAACATTTCTTCCTGCCAAAGTTTATTCAAAAGCCCACATATCATTTAACCTTCTGATTTTGACGTCAAACGAATCAGCTGGAAGAAATGCACATACTTTGAGATCGGGCCTTTAAACTAATCCAAATTTTGCCAAAAACTGCTCAAACATTGAGTAAAAATTAATTAAATTATTAGATTACTTGCTTTTAACAATTTTCTTTACGTATTGTGGATCTAATAAAAATAAAGAATTATCAATTCTTATTCAGTTTTAGCCGAATCTAAACAATCTATAATTTTCTTTAAATTTTTTAATTTTTATTTTCTTTTTATAATTTCTTTCCCTCCCGAATGATTAAAATTTCAATAAATTCAATTTCAACACAAGAATCTTTTATTTTGATTTTTTTAGAATTTATTTAATATATCTAATAATTTAAAATCTTTCCCCTCTTTTTTATCTGCAGAAAAAATTAGCTTCTATCAATAAATACCATTACATAAAATTTATTTCTATTTTTAAAATATTTTCTTTTTGACTTAAAAAATTTAAACATTTCAATTTAACCAAAAAAGTTTTTATTTGAAGGAATATATAAGATGAGAGTGAGAGATTTTTCTGAATTCCCGCACTTTTTTTCTAGTTTCCGAACTTTTGCGGGAATGCTTTTTAGGAAGAATTTTGCAAATAGGGAGTCCTTTATCGGTCACTAATTTAAAATATTTAATATTTAAAATCCAAAGAAATTTTTCAAAATAATTTTTTTACTTAATGGAGATACCCCGTGAGAGAGAATATTTTTTTTAAATATTAAGAAAAATATTAAGAAATTTTTACAAATTTTATGGATTTATTAAAGGTGTGTGTATGTGTGTTTATGTAGTACTTCTTCCTTTTTAATTCTCTTCTCTTCGTTTCTTCTCTTTTTGCGCAAATGCTTTAAGCAACCGGAAGCTACTTAAAGATATTTGTTATTTCTCAATTTCCTTAAAAGAAATTGATGTGGATTTAAAATTTAAATTGATTTTTTAAAAAGAAAGGATTTAAATGTGTTTGTTTTTTTGGGGTTTTTATTTTAAATGTACATTTTTTATTTAAGTTTAAGATTCCTTTAAAAGAGAATTTTCAAAAATATTTTCATTTCTTAATCCGCTTCTTAATTTTCCTTTACTTTTCGAATTTTTATAATTTTTAAATTTGTCTTATTCTAAAAATTCTAACCATCTGAAATCCACATTTAGCAACTAGACGAACTACCTCAACTACCAAAAATTCCAATTTTATAAAAGAAAGTCTTTTAACTCTTTAAATTTATTTAAAACAATAAAATATTTTTCAGATTTTCCGAAATTGGAGGGGGGTAATTATTAGAGAGTATATTGTTATTCCATTTTTTCCCTCTTTACAATCTATATAAATATATTTAATTTAAAAATAATTTTAAAATAATATATTTTTACTTCCTCAAAACAAAATAAATATTTTTCTATTTTTTTATTTGAATGATAAATTCAGACAATTATATTTTTCTTTGATCTTTCTATATTTTTATTTATTTAAAAAGACTAAAAATTCTAAATTTAGACTTTCTCTTTTGTTATTTTTTTTAAACAGCTGTTGTTTACTTTTAAATATTTTTTTTATTTAATGCACCCTGAAAAGTACATTAAAATAAATAAATATTTTTTTATTTAAAATTAAATTTTTAGTCTGACAAATTGTGAAAAATATTTTTGGATTATTTATTTATTTAGATAAATTAGTTATCTAGTTTTTTAATTGAAAATCTACTGAATTAAAAATTTTATTCAGAGATTTTTTAAAAAATAGAGATTATTTGAGTTGAGGTTTTTAATTATGATTTTTTTGATTTTTTAAAGTTTAAATTCTATAATTATTTTTTGTAAATTAATTATGTACTAAACTGCAAATTTTTTAATTTGTATAATATTTATAGAATTAATTGCATGGTTATTTAATTTTTTCGATTAATTTTTGGAACTAAAATTCATCTCAAATAAATATTTAAATGTTTTTTTTCTAGTCTTATCTTTTTCATTTTAGTTTATTTTTCAATTTCTAATCAATTATTTATTGACTAAATTCTTCTCTATTTTTCTCTTCCTCCCCCAAAATTTATTTTGCTGCCAGCTGCTGCCCATTCAGACAAATAAAATATTCCAAAACATTTAAATATTTTTTTAAATAATTTTATAATAAACAAAATAAATTTTTAATAATTTCTTCTTCTTTTTTTATTTCTGGTCAATATTTTCTTTCACAAATTTTCTACCTCCATTTATTTTTGTTTTTCAATTTATTAAAAATAAATTTTTAAATATTTTCTATTTAAAATTATCCCTTAAAAATAAAAATTATTTTTTTTTAAAATTATTAATTTTTATAAGATATTTTCTATCAAAATTTTTATTTAAAAAATATTATAATTAAATAAATTTTTTGAAATAAATTTTAATTAAAAAAACAATTTGCCTATTTATAGTATTTAATTTTGAATAAAAACAAAATTTAAATTTCCTAGAAATTAAATAATTTTTTTATTCAAATAATTTTTAACTAAATTTTATATTTAAATTCTTTTAATTTTTTTTTAGTTTTTTTCCTTTATTTTATTTATAGATTTACCTTTAAATTTTTTTGTATTTTTAAAAATATTTTTTTCCGTTTATTAAAATTTATTTTAAAAATTTGAAATTTTTTGGCACATTTATTCTTAATATAAGTTTTTATAATATGGGGTAAAAGAAAGTCTTATAACTTTTTTAAATTTATTTATTTTTCAGGAAATATAAAACTACAAAGATTTAATAAACAATGGAAATACAATAAAATAATTTAAAAAACTTCCTTATTTTTTAATTTAAACAGAAATTGTTTTAGTTTAAAAAAAAATATTTTCTGTTTCCTTTTCAAATGCTTCAGGCATTTGGAAGAATGCGCAAAATGAAATGGACAGAAGATGAAAGGAGAACGGCACAATTAAGTGAGGAAAAGGAGGGGAAAGGGGTTAAGTAAACTTGGGAGGTCTTTAAAAAATAAAAATAATTTTTTCTGGCATTTCTTGAATACCTAAATTATTAAAAAAAATTATTTTAAAAAAATTTTAAAAGAAATAACTGAAGATCAACAAAAAATGTTAAACGAAGAAATATTATTAATAAATAAACAACTTCCTTCTATTTTACTTTCTACAAGAAATGATGAGGATGATGAACAGCAACAAACACAACCAAATTTAGAAATTAATAATCCTTCTTGCAGGTAAATTAGGGGAAAAAGAAAAGAAAAGTTTTCGGTGTTTTTAATTACAAAAAACTTTCAATTTTCAGCAGTCAACAACATTCCCCAGCAACCTCCCCAGGTTGTTCCTCTACCCATTCTTCCCGTTCATTTCATCTTCATTTTCCTTCAACAATGTCCAGTTTACGGAAATCTGGCATTAATTTAGTTAGAAATATTCCAAATAATTTAAGAAGGTCTTCACTTGCTATGTTTCAAGTAAATTTTTAAAAGAAATTTTTTTAAAAATTAATTTTTAAATTTTGGATGGGGAATGTAAGCATTACTAGTTTGGAAGAGGATTCAACAAATAATAATTTTAAAGTACAAAATTCAATCGAACAGAGTTCAACAACAACAATTAATAATAATAACATACTAGAACAGGTTTTTAATAACTTTGTGTTTATTAAATAAAATTTAGAAAAGAAAATAATCTTTAAAAATATAAACATTTATAAAATTAAATGATTAGATTAAAATAAAAAGTTCTCTAAATTTTAAAGAATGAAAAACAAAATTTCCAACGAATTCGATATCGAGGATTTGGAGGAATGACTATTTTAGCGACTAGAAAAAAGTCGGGAATAACTTCGAATAGCAATTGTGGTGCCGCCAAAAGGGCTATGAGGAAAAGAATTTTAGCCGCTAAAAGTGCATTGAGACGGTTATCGAATACTTCCTCCTCTTCGAATGTTCCAACTTCCTCCAGTGATTTATCAACGAGTACTATAATGGCTAAAGGGTTATTTTGTAATGGAGAGGATGAATTAGGTAAAGTTTTATTTTTAGTTTATCAGAAGAGATGGACACACAATAGGGAGGTGTCGAAAATTGATTGGTCCAAATTGAACCCGGAACTTGTAAAAAATTTACGTGAATTCAAAAAAACATTGGAAATTGGTATTCTGCCCCCCCCCCCTCATGTGTATATTCCCTGTTAGCCTCTACTAGGTTAATCATAAAACTTTTAAATAATTTTTTATACTAAAAGTTTTATTTTTTCTTGTAATATTTTCCTTTAATTTTTTTTGCAAAAATATATATTTATTGCACTCAAATGTTCTAAACTTTTTTACTAAACTTCTTTTTTAATAAATAAATTGAGAGAATTTTATAATTTTCTTTCTTTTTTTTATTCATTTGAGGCTACCTAATACTTTTTATTTTCCCCAAGAGAATTAATAAATAAATTTTTGGATTGGCAACTACTTTCCTTATATTTTTTATAGAATTGTGGCATCATCAAACAAATCCAGTAAAATTTGTGGAAGAAAAAAGAGAATTTAAATTAAAGAATATCTTTAAGGCAAATTGTGAAAATGAAGAGGAAGATGATGAATTTTGTGGTGGTAATAATTTGGTAAAGGAAGAAAAAAGAAAAATTAGTAGAAGGGAGGAAGAAAATAAAGAAGAAATATATGGGGAGGAGGAGGAAAAGGAAATGAAAATAAAAAAGAAGAAAAGGAGCTGGGCAGCTTCATTTGTTCCAAAAAAGAATAGCTTTAATAATAATATTGAGGTTAAAACACAAGAAAAAGGAAAAGAAGGAGAAGAAAAATTATTAAAAAATAATAATAGAAGAAAACCTTTAGGGCCTAGCCTTTCTTGGGATCCTCAACAACAAAGACAAATAAAAGAACAAAGGTAGAATTTAAATTAAGTATTAGACACGAAACGATAATTTTGCTGCTGAGATTTTGGGGAGAGGGGGAGGGGGGGGGGGAGAATATCTCGATAATGACTCTCAAAAAACGTTGCTAATGAGAATAAAAAGAAAAAATTGGGGGATTTGGTTGAGTTAGCTTTTTAAGTGAAAATTTTTTAAAATAAAATTTTCTTTTTTGGAGCGTTGCCAAATTAATTTTAATTAGGTAAAGAAGGAACGGAAACTTTGATAATTTTGGGAGGAAAGGATAGAAAAACTCTCTTTTCATTTCTTTTAATTTTCCTAAAATATTTCTAGATCAGTCATTTCCTCTCCCGGAAGCCAAACTTCACGGTCACGAATTCATTCAGACGGAAGTACTAAAAAGCCTTCAATATTGAGCAGAGAAAATCTTTGGCCTTTTTCTTCTTTAGGCAAATCTTCCTTTACTTCTTCTGAGGAGAAAAAAGAAAATATTAAAAAACAATTTTATCCACAAAAGAAAATATCCACAGCTACATTACTTGGAAAAAAGAGGAAAAAGAGCAGTTCTGTTGTTTTTTGTAAAAGAGGAAATCGTTCAAATTCATTGAGTGCTTTAAGTGGCGATTTGTTACCGATTGAAGATGGCGTTAATAAAACTGCTTTAGAATTAAATTGGTTGGTTTTTAGTTTAAAAACAAAGGGAATTGGGGATGTTTGGATTTGTTTTGGGATGTTTTTCTTGTTGGGGATTTGTTAATGTTTGGATTGTTTTTGTGTTGGGAATGTTTGGATTTGTTTTGGGATGTTTTTCTTGCTAATGTTTGGATTGTTTTTGTATGTTTTTCTTATGTTTTGTTTGTTTTGTGTTTGGGAATGTTTGGTTTGTTGTTTAATGTTTTGTTTTGTTAATGTTCGGATTGTTTTTGTGTTTCTCTTATGTGTTATTTTCTGTTTCTGTTTTGTTCTTTGTGTCTCTTCTGGTTCAATGTTTTTATCGTTTTAATGTTTTTGTTGTTGTGTTTATTGTTATTTTAATATTTTCTTTTAAACATAAACGTTTCTATGGACGTAATTAACAAAACATCTTTTTAACCTTTACCATAAAACTAAACATTTTTGTTTGCCATAAAACACACATTTTTATACAATATTTATCTTCTCCTTTTCACATTATTAAATGCTAACAATAACAAATAAATAAATGGAGTTAATATAAAGAATGGAATGTTTGCAGAAAAAAATCATTAAAAAAGAGGGGGTGGTGTAGCGTTGGATTCATCATAAGCATTTCCTGCTTCTCCGCTATATTTTCTCGTGAATAATAAAAATATATGCTAGTAAATGATTTTCTTAATTTAAAAAACCACATTCACTCATCTTTGCTCTCTTTTCTTGATTTCTTTATTTTTAACTTTTTTTAAATTGAGATTTTATATTTTTAAATTGGAGATTTTCAATCCCCTAAACATTAATTTTAAGCCTTCATTGTGCTCTTCTTGCCGAATATAGAACTAGCGGTTTACGTGCTGAAATTGAGTGTGCCGTTAAACGTCTAGCCGCCCGTCTCACTTTCAGTGGTTCTCCTGCCCGTGCAAGACGTATGTTTGCAGATCATCACCACCACCACCAGCAACAACAACGAGAAAAGAAAACTTTAGAAGAGAACGAAAGGCAAATGGAAATGCTTCGCCGTCAAATGGGCACTCCCGATATTGTGGTTAGTATCTAGGAGGACACTAAAAAGTTGAATTTCTGGCTTCTTAAGCACTTGAAACTCTCGAAATTTTTGTCTAAGGCGCTAAAGATTTAACGAACATCGAGCGTAAATCTTTCAATCTCCCAAGGCCCTCCGACAATAACCAACATTAATATCAACAGCATAATTATAAATCTATATTTTCTCCTTAGGTATCCTCCTGTAATTCTGAAGGAACACCCGAAAGTGCAGATGAAGGTTTTTGGACTAATCCCTCACCCCAACATGTGGAAGGTTCAAATTGCGGGAATGATCGGTAAATTTCTAAAAGAAAGTCGCTTTTGTAAGAAAAGGGGCTTTTTGCTGTTGTTTCTGATGTTTTTCCGCATTTTACTATAAAGAAAACTCCAACTTTACAAGACTCCCCTAGTCAAAAAATGCCAAAAAATATTTTTAAAAATTATTTTAGTTGGAATACTTTAAATAATCAAGAATTAACAACAACAACAATAACTAGTGGTATTCCTTCATCTTTATCTTCAACAAATTCCCCACAACATTCGGGAGGAGGAGATTTATTAATACAAGATAGAAGATTTGTTAAAAATGATGGAGGAAATATTATAATGGATACTTTAAAACCTCCCGGTTTTCCTTTTGGAATTCCTTTACTTTCAAATTCTTCTCCTTCAAATTCTTCTTCATTTTCTCCTTGTTATACTAGTAATTGTTCTTCAATAGATAATGGAGGATTAAATCAATGTTCTTCACCTCCACGTAGCAATAGTGTTGATTTAAGTCAATTAAGAAGGGATATTGAAGTTATTATTTGAAATTAAAAAATAATAAAAAATATTCTTTAAAGTTATGGAGTGTTAGTAGTTTAAGTAGTGCTGAAGCTGGGTCTTCAACAGGAGAGAGAACTGCGGGTAAATAAATTGAAATTAAAAGAAATATTTTTAAAATTTTGTTTAAACATTCAGGAATTTCCACGCCAGGCGGGGACTCTATTCGAACTGTTCGTTCACGTTCTTTTGATCCAAGTGGTTCCCCTGATTGTGTTTTAAGACGTCCAAGTCGAATAGAGCATTTATCTGAAATATTTAGGTATTTTTTGACAGATAATTTAAATAACTTATTTAAATATTTTTTTTATTTTGCAGGTTAAATATATATGCCCATTCAATTCTTATTTTCATTTTTTCATTTTTTAATTTTCTCTTTTCTCTATTTCTCTTAAAAAATTAAAAAAATTTATTAATTAAATTAAAAATGTTAAAAAAATAATATTATTTTAGAAAGGCTTTGGCTAAATCTCCAGTCGTTAAAAGAGCAGCGGCTTTACAAGAACAAGAACAAAAACGGGCAACAAAACATCGTACAAGTCGATATTGGTTAGAAGAACAAGTAAATAAAAATATTTTTTGAATTAATTGAAAAAATTCTTTAGATAAATTCATCAGAACATATTTGGTTACCCTCTTGTTCAATTTCCTCATCAACAAATGTGGATACAGAATGTTATTTAGGGGAAACAGATTGTGGAAGAATAGGGGAAAAGAGAAGATGTGCTGCTTGCCATATTGTTGCACATACTGCTTGTTTTCCTTTATTGGCGAAGGTAAAATGAATTAAGGGGATTCCACTAATGGGGGATTCCGGTTGTGTTTTCTCGTTAATTCTTAATTATTCTCTTACAAAGGAGGGTGCCTGGGGTGTCCGTGGGACTTCAGGATGAAAATTTGAAGACAGTTTCCTTTGCAGACAGTTTCCATGGATAGTTTACTTGCGAGGGAACTATCCAAAAAAGCCAAAATTTGGTTAACTATCATCTACAGTATGCTAAGATATATATAGTCTCCGTTGTAAGCATTTTATCATATTAAGATGAAATTATTAAAATATTTCTTTTAAATGTTTTGTTTAATTCCTTTTGAGATTATTTATTTTTTGTTCCATTTAATTTAAATTGTACAGATGAATTTAAACTGTAAAAGTACTTATCGAGATTGCCAAACAAATCGCCGTCAACATTGTAGGGATGGACAAGATTCCCTTTACAAACATCATTGGGTACATAGATGGAGATTGGAAGGGAGGTGTTTTCATTGTGGAAAGTCTTTTCAACAAAAAATGTTTCGAGAAAAGGTAACGACAAAAACAACAATAATTTACAGTCGGACTATTGGACACACTTCGGGATACATTTCTTTAATTGGTCTTATTAATTCAGTGGATTAACTTCTGTCTTATTTAAGATAAACCTCATTCTAAGATCTTTTTTCAATCACTATAGTTTATCCTAAAGTATTGTCTCCCGACTATAATAATTTAAAAATTTATTCTTATTATTTTTTAGGAAGTAATAGCAATTAATTGTTCTTGGTGTAAACGTTCTTATCACAACAAACGTTCGTGTTTTTCCTTAGCTCGTTTTGATGATCGTTGTGATAGAGGGATTTTGAGAGAATTAATATTACCACCAAATTGGCTTTTAAGACTTTCTAATCAACGTAGAAATAATAGATTAAATGAACAACAAACTTCTAATAATATTGTAGCTATTTCGTTAAAAAGGAATAGGAAAAAGGTGAGGAATTATTAAAGATGAAGATAATTATTGAGAATTTTTTGTGGATTTTTAATGAATTTTTAAATATCATTTCATAATAGAATGTTAGGATTCTTTATCAGAAATAATGTTCCCTTGTCAGTCCACAACAGAGGTGAATCGGAACTGACTAAGGTGCCGGAAATCGGAACTGCCGGAAATTGGAAATGACTCAAAAGTCGGAACTCGGAAATCGGAATTCCGATTCACCGCTGGTCCACAACCTCTTTTTAAATTTTTAGTATCGCCCTTTTATTGTCAAATTTCTCGAACAAACAACAAACAATGTTGGACCAATTCCTTTAATTGGTGGTACAAGAGATGAGGCTAGTAACAGTCAACAACCCCCAATTCAACCTTTGCTTGCTTTTGTTAATCCAAAAAGCGGTAAATAAATAAATTTTTAAAAAATTATTTCAAAAAAATTAATTTAAGGAGGAAATAAAGGAGCTAAAGCTTTAAATACACTTTGTTGGCTATTAAATCCTCGTCAAGTTTTTGGTAAAAAATGAAAGAAAAAAATTAAAGATTAATTTAAAAATTAAAAGATATAAATACAATGAATGGCCCAAAATATGGATTAGAAATATTTAGAAAAATAACTAATCAAATGAGAATTTTGGTGTGTGGAGGTGATGGAACTGTTGGGTGGTTATTAAGTACTTTAGATCAGTTAAATTGGAATATATACCCTCCTATTGCTATTTTACCTCTTGGAACGGGGAATGACCTTTCTAGGTAAATTAATTAAATTTAAAATTAAATTTTCTTCTTTTTTAGAAGTATGGGTTGGGGTGGAACATTTAGTGACGAGCCTTTATCAGAAATATTACAAGCAATACAAACAGAAACGAGTGTTACATTTCTGGATCGTTGGAGATTAGATGTATTTCCATTATCTTCAACAAATAATTTACAACAAGAACAGCAACAATCAACTAGCAATAATTTAAATAGTCCAACATTTTTAAATGAAAATAATGTAGAAAAAATAATTAGAAATTTAAAAATAATTTTTTTAAAAGGAAAATAAAGAGCAACAATTAAATAATGAATGCCAAACAACTTTACCTCTTTCTGTTATGAATAATTATTTTTCTATTGGGGCAGATGCACATGTTGCTTTACAATTTCATCATTCTAGAAGTGCTAATCCACAAATGCTTAATTCTAGGTAATCCTCCTTTTTTTAAATTTTTTAAAAATTTCCTTTAAAAGACTAAAAAATCGTCTAGCATATGGAGGTCTCGGAACTATTGATCTCTTCAAAAGGGCTTGGAAAGATTTGAGTGAATATATAACTGTTGAATGTGACGGGGTTGATATAACCCCAAAAATTAGAGAATTTAAATTCCATTGTATTCTCTTTCACAATATTTCTTTTTATGCGGGTGGGACTGTTCCTTGGGGGCAGGGAGGTGATGGAGTGCAAGAATCTTGTGGAGAAGTTTTTTCTCGACCGAGTCCTTGTGATGGAAAAATTGAAGTTTTAGGCTTTACTACAGCAACTTTGGTTAGTTTTTAGTTGATCTTATTGGAAATTTGTATAAATAAAATCGAAAACAATATGAGAAACATTTCGGTTCACCTAAGCAGTAACACCTTATTTAAGTCTTATATGTATTAGCCTTTGTATCTGCTTTAGGTAAAATAAAAGAAGGAAATGGTGGCACCTAAACGAAACTACATATTACTGGGGTTGTACCTCGTCCCCGAAAGTCGGGGAATTTGAAGGTTTTTCAAAAAAATTTCAAAAATTTTTTGATTCCTCGAAATTTCCTTGTAAAAATTTCTTTTTCATTACCTTTTTATTTCTTTTAAAAAGGCAACATTACAAATGGGCGGCCGAGGTGAAAGAATAGCTCAATGTTCAAATGTCCGTATAGAAACAATTAAACCAATTCCAATGCAAGTAGATGGAGAACCTTGCCTTCTCGGCCCTTCACTCATTCATCTTTCATTTCATAATAAAGTTCCAATGTTGAGACGTGAAAAGTTTGCTCGCCTTTCTGGTTCTGCTCCAACAAATAATATTGTGTCAATGAATGCAAATAGAAGAAGAAAAAATAGCAATCAAAATAATAATATAGCTATAAATACAAATAATAATTTAATATCTGAACAAAATGATGGGAATGGATTAAATTTAAAATCAAATAATATTACTTCACCAATTAATATAAATCAACATAAAAATTCTAAGGTAAATCTCTATAAGATAATAACTTTGAAGGAGGCTAATGTCTATTCTTTATAATTACCGAAAGAATTGGGAATTTTAGGCTTGGAAGTAAGGTTGGCGGATCCTGGAAAATCTCTGGATCTCCTGACTGCCAACCTTAGTCGAAAGCATGTTTTTTAGTTAAAGTAAGAGTAAAAAAAATATAGCAACCGGAAAACTTCTAGCTACTATATCCTTCCTTGCATTCATAAAAATTTTTTAATAGGATAAAGATTAAATATAAAATTTGAATTTTTTTGATTATTTTAAAATCAATTTTTAAAATCTCTTTAATTTTTAGGCAAGTTTAGCAGCCTATCCATTAAATAATACTCCACAAGCACCATCCCCTCCCAACAACGTCTCTGTTTGTGTTCCTATTGTTGTTGTTGGTCGTCATGATTATGATACTTATAGGGATTCTGTTGATAGACTTAAAGATACTGGTAAATAATTTTTTAAATTTATTTTAAAGATTTTTTATAGGATTTGAATTGGGAACACTTGTTTTGGAGGCAGAATTAGAACTTAGCCAAGTTCGCGAAAAAATACAAAAAATGCTTTCTCAACATCAAATACTTCCTTATGAGCCGGGAAAAGATTGGAGATTTCTTGATTGTAATTAAATAAATAAATGGCCAGTCCTCACTATAAGATACTCCTTAGGGCTTAAAACTTTATAATGAAGTCTATCTTAAGGTGAATTATATCACCTAAGCAATTCTTCTCTTTCACCTATTGTCCAACTAAATAAAATAAGACGTTTCCTAAAGTGAAGTTTCTAATCTTTGGGTTATCTTATAGTGAGGTCTGGGTGTATTTTTACAAATTCTTTCTAAAAAATATTTTCTAAAGATGTCTCAAGCCCAGAAGAAGGCACTTTTAGAATTTCTAATCAACAAGAACATTGTAGAACAGTAGCCGATGTTAGCAGTTTAGATGAAGTTAAAAAATTGTCTTTTTATTAAAATAAAAATAATTTTTAAAGACAAATTCTGCCATTCTAATTCTCGATGATGCTTTCCCTTCAATGACTGTAAGATCTGCAGCTATTGGACATGAATTGGTTTTTAATCCAGCAGGCGGAAAGTAAAGAAATTAAAAAAAAAGGGGGGGGGGATTTTGTTAGAATTGTAAAAGTTAAAGAAGAGGAGATTGGGTGTGAGGGAGAGGGAGATTGGGGGGTAATTTGGTGCGGGAAACAAGAATAAAAAAATTAATTAATAATTTTAAACAATAAAAAAATTCAGGCAAGCAAAAACATCAAACGAAAAAAATAATTTAATGAGAAGAAGAATTGGCGAAACATTACGTATTGTATTATCTACTGATTCCCAAGAAACTCACCTCTAAAAATAATGATGCTCAATAAAATAATTAAAGAATTTTTGTTTTTTAAAAAAAGATTCTTGCCCTATTATTTAGAATTTTGTTGATAATGTTTTTATCTTTTTTCTTGTTTTGTATTCATTCAATCTTCTTTATAAAAAATTGGAAAATTTTCTGAATGAAAGATTTCCCCTAATAAATGTGAAGGAAATAATCCACTAGAATTTGTTTGTGTATTTTTTCCATAAACAAAACCATTCCAAATTGGTCGAGATATTTCTTAAAATATTTTATTATTAAAGCTTATTTAAGTAAATTTTGATGAAAGGGAAATTTTCTCTAAAAATAGTGATTTTTATGAGTTATTCAATACCAAAAATTCAATTTGTCCAAAATATTAAAAAATAATTAAATATTACCAATTATATCCCCTTTATTTGCATTTATTTCATCTTTATTATTTAAAGGTTTTGTATAATTATCAATTGCCTCCATCTTTTTACCTAAATTAATTATTTAATTAATTTAACATTAAACTTAACATTTCCATGTTTCTGTGTAAAAAACATCCAAAGATTGGACTGCTTCACTCATATCTTTTGCCTGAACTGCTTGCATTAATTCATAAATTAAACGGCAAACCTTTAATTAAATAATTAAAATTTTGAAAAAATTAGTTCTATGCTTTATTCTCTCGAAAATCCGCAAATTTTTTTCGGACTTCTCCTTTAAGGTCCACATTTTTTTTTATTTTTTCTAAATTAATTATAGACTTGAAAATTTTTTTAGATCCGAAAAAGTGATAAAGGAAAAGATTTTATTTTTAATTTTTTCATTACATTACTACTAAAAGTACAAACAACAAATTGACATTGAACTAAAATTTTAATTTCTGCCATTATTGCCAAAAGAGAGTCTTTTGTATATCGAATAGGATCACCTTCTTCAAAACCATCTTTTTAATTAAATTTAAATTAATTTTAATTAAAAAATATTTTTTTACATTTTGCTTCTAATTTATTATAAAATATTTCATATTTATCATTCCAATGCTTTTTTGCTTCTTTAATAACTAATTTTGGTTCTTCTGTAGCGATAAAAATACGGCGAGGAATTTGTTGAATTATTGTTTTATTTAAATTATTTTTGTTATCTTTTAAAGGTAATAATTTAATATTCTCTATATCAAACCAAAAATCTGTCCATTTCTTTAAAAAAATTTTTGATTTATTTATTTTCAAATATTGGGGCATTACTCAAGAAAAGAAAAAAATAAAGGGAGGGGGGGGGGGTAGATTTTTGGAGACTTCTTTAAATATTAGCAAAACCCTTCCTTGATTAATGCCTTTTTAAAATAAACAAACAAAATAATCATCTAAATTGCGAGTTTGTGCTTCTTTAAATTTATCTGTCCTCCTGACGTGAATGCCAACAATTGGACCTAAAATTTATAAAAAATATTTAAGGAAAACAATGTTAAAAAAATAAAAACAAATTAAATCTATGAACATATTTCTTTTCCCAATTTATTTACAAATCAAAATTTGAAGAGGCTAATTAATCAAAAGAATTTCAATATATTACCTTCAACAAAGGGTATCTTTGCTTCAATTTTTTCAAGTATTTCACGAGTTACTGGACTTTCTCTCCAAATATATCTAATTAACTTTAAATTTAATTTTATAATTTTTTAAAATCTTTTTCAACTTGTCCATGAAACCAAAGGGAAGGATTTGAATGTTGGGTAAAAAGTATTTCTGAAAATTCTTTTGGCAAAACTTCAGGCTGATAATTTACTTCGAAAGAAATATCACTTCTTCTATCTAAAAATAATTGTCTTTCAATCCTTGCCGAAATATCTTTGTAATTATTTATTGGAAGCCAAGGGGCAATCTTTAAAGAATTAAAAATTAAATTTATATTTTTATTTTTCTTTTACATCCTCTCCATAATTACAATTTGTAATAGGCTCAAATATATCATTCCATCTAACATTATAACTCCATTTAATACCATCATCTTCAAATATTAATGTTCTATTTGTTCCCATTGCTATTGACAGACAAAAACTTTTTAAAAATAATTTTTTATTTAAAATCTTTTAAATTTAAGATTAAATTTTTTTTTAATTTTTTTCCTTTTGTCTTTTCATACATACATAAAGAGTCTAGCCTTCATAAAAATTAAATTCTCGATTTTTGGGAATTGGGTAGACTAGACCTCTGATAACAATTTAATTTATTTAATCATCACCTAATATGATGCATTACACATCCAAATCCACAAAACTGTTCCAACTTTTAAAAAATTATTTTTATTTTTCTTAAAAATACCTTCAAAATACCTTACAAACAAGAAATCTAGCAATTTTACAATCCTGGGGATGTTGAAGTTTAAATATTTTATTATAAAAATAATCCCCCAAAACTTCAAGTATTTTATTATTTTCTTCTAAATTTTCTTTTAAATTTAAAGAAATATTTTTTCCGATTGCCATTAAATTAATAAACTTAATTAATTTTTAATTAATTAATTAAATGTTTAAAAAAACCTTTAAATAAATTTTTTTATTTAATTGTTTATTTGTTGAATTTTCTATTAAATTAATTAATTCGTTTAATTCAAAATTTATTTGTGTATTAATTAATTCTCCTTGAGTTTTTAATGAAAAACAAATTTCCTCTTTAATAATTAATTCCTCAAATAATTACAAAAATTAAAATATACATTACATTCAAAAATCATTTTTAAATACTTTTTTGGGAGAGTAATGAAGGAAAGGAAATTATTAAAGAAATAAAACTAGAGCTGAATAGGGGCCCTGTCTATTTAAGAATAATGAATTGGAGGTATGTATGATTCCCAGAGTTGCTATAAGTTACTAAGTAGAGTTAATGGTTCGGTTAACCGCTTGATCGAGCACTAGGCTAATTGAAGACAAAGATGATTTATGTTCAAATTCCTGCCAGTAAATTTAAATTCCTATTCCCAACCTGATTTTTCTAGATCAGGAAAAAAAGTTTTAACAATATATAAGAAAAAAAAGGGGGGGGGAAGGAGTTTAAAATTACCACAAACATTTTTATCATTTTCCTCAGTTTTCCAATTTTCAATTAATTCAGAAATATTTTTTAAAGAAAAATAATTAAAAATTAAATGATTGTAAAATAACATAAATAAAATAATTAATAAAATAAATATTGAACAAAATAAAAATAAAATAATTTGTGAAAATTTATTTTGTTTATTTTTCATTTTAAAAAATTATTGACTTTTAAATTTTAAGAGAAAGTTTTTAGGATTTAAATAAAAATAAATTAATTTTTATATTTCGGGATTTCTACTTTTTTTTCTTCTGGGTGGTCATTTAATATTTAATTTAGATTTACTTTTAGATTAAAAAAAAGAAAAAAAATCACAAAAAACTCTGTGAAAGTGGAAAAAAGATAAAAGAAGTTTTCTTTAAATTTTTTTTCAGAAATTGAAAGATTTTTTGCGAATTTTACCCCAACTCATACCAGACCCTTTTACTCGCTTTTAATGGTTTGTTAAAAACAATTGTTTGCCAATTTAATAAAATACTTTTATAATTTAAAATATTTATATATTTAATTTACAAAAACATTTTTACAAAATAATAATTTTCATAAAAAATAATTAAATTTTAAATAAAATTTAATTTTATATTTTCATTTAATTCTCCATATTCGTATTTATGCTCTTCAAATAATTTTATTAAATTTTTACAATATTCATTATGTAAATCGTCGATTTGTTGATCTGAAGGATTATCACACTTATTTACTTTTATTGGTTCTCCAACTAAATTAAAATTTTTTTTTAATATTTGTATTTTTAGTCGGGCCTATATAATGTACATACACATATGTAATAGTTAGATAAACTTAAATTAAAGGATCGTTTTTTTTAAATTTATGATTAACCATTGGGTGAAGGTCTAAACGATATTCTCTTTTAAAAGTTTACTTACCAATTGAAGTAATTCTTTCTTTAAAGGGTAAAATTCCATAAAACAAAAATGAAGGTAATTTATTTGCTAAATTATTAGGCAAAAACAAAGTCAAAAAACTACAACCATAAGCCAAAGGAAAACATAAATTTTTGAAAAAAGGGATTGTTAATTCTCTCATAAATTGCTTTAAAATTTAAAAAAATTGAAAATATTTTTCTTAATAAAATTAACTTGATATTTCCAAATTAAACTATTTTTTGGATTTGGAAAATTAATAAAAACTTTATCTTCTCCAAAATTATAAACTGGAACTAAATCTGCACTAAAAATTAAAAATTATTTTAAAATTATTTAACTCGAAAAAATTAAATTTCAGGGAGTTAGTAAAGGAGAGTTCATCCAAAAATACTTTGTTTACTTTAAGTTTCAAATGGTAAAACGAGAGATATAGGATTAGACTTCTAAATAGGTTGTCAATTTGGAACCTAACAGAAAAGGTTCTTAAGAAGCAGTGGTATATGTTTATTGACGTTTAATGTTTAAACAATTTTAGAATCTAAACTAATATTTACTATTTATAATTTATTAAAAAATTGTTTGTTTTTCTATTTAATAATTATATATTACAATCATCCAAAATTACTCTCACTTTAACGTTAAATTTTTTGCAAGGTAGGTGGTGCAAAGGAGGTGTTTATTATATTTTATTTGATAAATTATCTATAAATTAATATTCAATTTATTAATTTTACCCGCATTTTAATGCCAATTTAATGAATCCCTAAAAATAAATTTATTTTTATTTTTAAAAATTATTTTTTTACCTTTCTGTTTGCTAATGTTAAAGTATGTTCGCCAGGTTTTGAATTAAGCATTTCAGAAATACCTCCAGTTACAATTGCTACTGCTTTTCCACTTTTTGATTTATTCAAAAAATAATTTAAAGATTCAAAATCTGTGGAAATTATTCCTAAAAATAAATAAATATTTTTTAAATAAAAAATCTGTCAATTTTTGGGAGGAAAATAAAGTAGTATATTTCCTTTAAAATCCCTCTATTTATTTACCATGTGCTAAAAGAAATTCTCTTCTCAAAGGAAACCAAAAATTAACTGGAAGTGTTGCAATTCTAACATCAATCTCGGGAAATAAAGTTTTAAAGTTTGTTGCATCTGTTCCGAAAGTTAAAGCACTTCCTGTAGCAAGTACTCCATGTGGATGTACTCTAGAAAATATGAGAAAACATTTTTTTAATTTTTTAAACATTTAAAAATATTTTTAATTAAAAAAACGTAAAATTTACCCAAAAATATAATTTCTTTCATTATTTAATTCTGCAGTCTTAACCAATTTAAAATTAAAATAATCAGCCAATACTTTCCATAAAAACAATTCTCTAAACCATTTTAATGGTCTAGAGCCCCGTTTTGGTGTTTGCCAATCATAAAAAAGCCAAATAAAATAAATTAAAAGAAAAAACCTAAAAATTATTTTTTAAAAATACAATCAAGAATTTATTATTTCAATTTTGACTAGATACACCCAAATTTAAGAAAATGTTTTTTTAATGGATGGAAGAGATATCAAAGTGATAACCTCTCCCATTTATAAGATACAATTTTTAAACCCAAATAGTAACCCAGCTTTAATTTTAAGATTTTCTGTTAATTTACCAAAGTTTTGGTGAAAATAATAAATATAAGATTAAAACAGTTGAACAAAAAGGCCATCCAAGCATTGCCCAAACATAGAAGAAAAGGCATATAGACAATTTTAAATTAAATAAAAAATTAGAAAAAAATACGAAATTCATTTATTATTTAAACAAAGAATATTTTTTATATAAGGGAGAATACCTTTTCATTTAAATACCCTTAATTTAAAAATAACTCTCGAGGAGAAGCACATGGCTAATTAATTAATTAATTTTTTAAAAAATATTAATTTATTGTTCTCTTTAAATTACTGATAAGAGAAAATCGTATATAATTTAGACATTTCTTTGAAAAAAAGAAAGCCTTTTTTGTTGATAGTGGTAATATTTAAATTCAAAAATAAAAAGAAAAATAAGAAAATGTTGATAAATATTTAGGAGGAAAAAATTTGAATATTTTAATTTAAATTTTTTAAAGATTATCCTAAATTTTTTGTTTAAAGACAACCATTTATAAAAATTGCAACACTGGAATTTGTTTTTTTTTGCAAATAGATTTTATTTGTAAATTTTTTATCTTAAAATATATATGTATATAAAAAAATAGTAAATTATTTTTTAAGCTAATTTCTATCGTTTTAAAATTAATTTATTAAATTATTTTTAAATTCTTTAAAATTTAAACTGTAGAATTTAATTATTTAGGATACATATGTACTTCTTTAATTTTAAAGGCTATTTATAACTATTAAATTACCTGAACATTTTAATTAGATTAATTCTTTTTAAATATTTAATAAAAAATCATATTTTTGTTTAAACTTTAATTTTTGCAAATATTTAATTTAAATAACCTATAATTTTGTTTAAAGATAATTTTACCATAATTTTTTATTATTTACTCAATTAGTAACTAATAATTTATTTAAGCAACGTAATAAAATTTTTTGTCCTTCCCTCATAATTAAATAAAAATGTTAAAATAATTAAATGTTATATTTTAAATAAAATAAAGAAAATTGCCAATCTTAATTATCTAAAAAAATTTTTTTAAAAGAAATCTTATGATTGGTTTTTAGTTTTTATTTAAATATTTATGTACTTAAGTTTTTTTTAATATTCTCTAATAAAATATATTTATTTATTTGTTCTCTCAAGAGTCCAAAAGTTTTATTAGTAAACTATTTAGTTTACCAAAAATAAATATAGAAGGATTAAAGGTTAGGCATGAAAATTTAAATTATTACAGAATATATAAACGTATCAAGAATTGAGATTTCCTCAAATTTTTGGTGTAACATTTTAACTAAAAAAATAAAAATTATATAAAATATTTCGAAAATTTTATTTGAAAATGTCAAACAAAGAAGAAGCTTTTCCATTTGTTCGGATTTTTGGAGCCTTCTCCTACCTAATATTGACAATAACTTCCCTAACTATGAACATACTTTTGGCTCTAACATTGTTAAAGGTTAATTGATATTTAATTAAAAATTACAATTAAATTAAGGGATGGAAACAATTTCGAAAAAACGTTTTTTATCGAATTGTTTGGCAACTTATTTTTGCTGATCTTTTCGCACAAATAGTCCAACTTTTTGTTGCCGTTCCGACAACTTTTGTAGGCCAAACGGTTGGAAAATAAATATTATTTTTTTCCTAATAATTTGATTCTAAATACATAAGACATGCCATATAAATAATAAATTATATCATAGTGTATTAAATATTCGATAACTTTGGTTTGTTATACAATCTGGATACCCAGGGATTTCCTGGAGCCACAAACTCTTCTGGAACTATTTAAAAAAACAACTAAAATTGTGAATTAACCTCTTAGCGTCTAATATCCCCCAGATCCCTTGATATCCCCGATTTCCCTCCAAATCCTAATAGGGGTTCTAAGACTTAACTGAGGCTTTGATCTGTAATCAAAGCTTTGATTTGACAGATCTTTCTATTTTTTAATAAAAGATATTCTCCGATTCTTGGCTACCTTTTATAATTTTTATGCAATTTGATTCAATCTCATTTTACGCAAGTATGTACTTTTCTGCTTTGATGACTTTAAATCGTTTTGCTGTTTTCTTCTGTGAATCTTTAAATGAAAAACTTTTTAGTAATCGACCTATGAAAATGTTTGCTTGGATTTTTTAAGAAAACTTTTCTAAATTAATTTTTTAAAGAATTCTTTTTGTTATTTGGATATTTGTTTTTGTTTTTATTACCATTTATTCTATATCTGGTTGTTTAAAAACTTTCTCTCCAACTGGATTCTTTATGTATAATTTGTGCAGCTCTCCAAATTTTTTAATGAATTTCTTTAAAATGGTAGGGGAATTTTAATAATATTTTTAAATTGACACCCTATTATTCCCTAATATTTATTTTTCCAGTGGGGGTACTATGCAAGTACTTATTTACCGGCTGCCATGTTATTGGCATATTTTGCTATTTATATCCGTGTTCGATATTTTGTTAATACTAATTTACCGTATTTCCTATATTAGAGCCCCATGGGGCTCTATTTTTCAACTATCCTCCAAGGTGGGGCTGTATTAAAGGGTGGGGCTCTAATTGAGGGTGGGGCTCTATTTTTCAACCCTCTTTTGAGATAGAATCCCATTTATTATATCCATTGCAACTAGAGATAGGCCGGAGGGGTTGGTTGATAAAACCAAAAAATATCGAAAGACAATCGATATTTTTCAATTTTTCAAAAAAATTAAAATTTTATAAGCAATGAGTAACGAAATAATCGCAATAGTTCAATGAGGGTAAGATTAATTATAAAATATTTGTAGATTTTGACGGATTAAAGGGAATATTAGGGGACTTGTATTTGACATTGATGGATCATATATAGGTATACAAGCGATTTTAAGGGATTATGGGGAATATCAGAGGATTAATTTTATATTGAGAGATTTAGCGGGGTTAAGAGTGATATTTTGAATGAGGTATTAGTAGGCATATGAAGGGATTTTTTTGTGAAGAGGGATATCGGTGATATAAGGGATATCTATCGGGGATAAAAGGAATACCCACTATATCTCTTCCTTTTCCCCTTAGTTAATCCCTCATATTTCCCTTAATCCTTATATCCCCATGGCCCTTTATTTCCTTAACTCTTAATAATCTTAAAAATTATTGGGATATTTTTTATTTTTCCTCCAATATTTTTAGGTGGGGCTGTATTAGGGGTGGGGCTCTAATTGAGGGTGGGGCTCTATTTTTCAACTACCCTCCAAAGTGGGGCTGTATTAAAGGGTGGGGCTCTAACAGAGGGTGGGGCTCTAATATAGGAAATACGGTATTTAAAATGAGTTCAATGGAAAAGGAGAGAAAGAAAAGGGAGAAAAGTGTTCTTTTACAGGTTATAATTTTGGTGTAAAGGCCCGAATAAACTTTAATTTTCAGGCATTTTTAATTTGCGGATTTTTGGAATTACAAGATTTAGCATTTATTTATATTCCAAAAATACCTGTAGAAGGTCAATGGAGTTATTTACTAACATTTACAATTAATTGGAGTGGAATTTTGTTAAATTCAATGAGTCCAATAATTTTATTTAATTTTAACAAAGAAATAGCTGAAGGACTTAAAAAATTGTTAAAAATAAATATTTTTATTTTTAAATTAATTTTTTAAATATTTTTAAAGAATTGGAGATAATATACTTCAAAGATTCTCATCTGTAACACATGTACATACAATACAACAAACATCAATGCAATCAGCACAACATTAAAGAAAATAAACTGAAAATAATTGAAGAATGCTGATTTCATTGGGGAGATAATTGTTTCTTTTATTTCAGAGATTATAAATATTTATTTTAATTAAAAAATACGGAAAAAGCTAAATCTATAAATTAATGTTTTCTTATATTATATACATAAACCAAAATTAATTATCTTTCTAACTTACACAATTCTTAAATTTATGAATAAAAACACAAAAAATTCTGAAAACTTAATTTTTATGTAATTATTTAAATATTTTTTTGTCTCTTTTAAAAAAAATCTTTAATATTTTATAAATAAGAAAGATAAAATCTGTGGATCTCGTTATTTAAATCCTTTTTTCTCTTGTGTGGTCTCTTTTTTAAATTAATATATTTAAAAATAAACTCATTTTTTTCAGTAAAATCCTTGCCTAAATGTCCACTTTCTTAATTAAAAATACTTCTGAAAACTTAATTTAGGCAATTATTGTGTGGCTCGTTTTTAAAAAAATTAATTTTATAAAAATATTTTTTACCGTAAATTATACCTATACATATGTATATTTTTTTATAAAATTCGTTTTAATGTACATATTTAATTTACATTTATTTTTTTCCTGTAGAGTCCATTTATTTTTTTGACCTAACATCTTTTACTGTCTTATTGTATTTGATTTTCTGTATGATAATTCTCCATAAGTGATCCCTGTGGATCCTGAAGTTTTATTTTATTGTTCCATTTTATTTGTGTTCGATAAAGAAATAAAATTTATTAAAAAATATAAAATATTTAGTAAACTTAAACAAAGTCTATGTAGTAAAAAAATTAAAGAAAATAAATTTTTCCTACGAGGGTCTTTTCCCACCGTAAGAAAAAATTTTTGGAAGGGGGGGGGGACGACTTCAATTTTTAATTTTATAATAATTTTAGTTTATGCATATTATTGCAATAATTATTTTATTTTCAAAATTAAAAGGAAAGAATGTTTTATTCTTTTGGAGACTAAAAATGTTTAAAAAATTTAAATTAATATTTTGTTTTTTAATTTTATTAATTTTTATTTATTTTTCTAATCAAATAATGACAACAAATAATAATCAAACATCTTTTTTAACTCTAAATAAAGATAGAAAAGAGGTTTTAAATGAAAATATATCAGAAAATATAGAAATTGGGCATTGGAGTGATAAATGGTTACAACCAATAAATTTAAGTGTTAAAGAAGAACCAGAATTTGATCATTTTATTTTTACTGGGGTTATTAATGGACAATTAGGGAATCAGGCAAAAAATTTTTAAATTAAAAAAATAAATGGAGGGTGGTTTAGGAAATTCTTGTCAAAACCTTAATACTATTCTAAATACACCCCTTTTATGACTTACAAGGAAGGTCAGATTGGTCATATAATTTACCCCAAAAAATTGAATAAAAATACATAATTAAAAATTAAATTACAAAATATTCTAACCTCCTCACTACATATAAGATTACATCCATTAATATCTCCACAAATATTTAAAGGAGTTTTGAGAGGATTTACATAAGCGATACTCTTTTTACTTTTATTTAATAAATAAATATCCCCCTCGGTTATATCCGACTTTATTCGTAAAATTAAGATGTTTCGTTATGCCTCACTCTATGTGATGGGACAAATGTTAAACAGAACCCCAGTATATATCCACAATGATAATTATTTAAAGCAAATTGAATCAGAAATGTCGACAACCTTTCCAAATTATTTCAAAAAAATTTATTTTTTGGTAAAAGTATTTTTTAATTAAAATTAATTTTAAATAATTTTAGAAAGAAAATTTTACAAATTTCGAGAAATATAAATTAACTTGGATGTGTTGTGATTATACTGATCCTAAAATTTAATTAAATATAATAATTATTATTTTAATCCAGGCACTGTAAAGATTTGGACATTTCTCTTTACTTTAATTTATCAAAGCTCCAATCTTTACATGCGTCTAAAAATACTTTAAAATGTTAATTTTTTTAGTCTTTTGGGACATAATAGAGAAAGAGGATTGATGTTAACTATGGGTATTCATTTTGAAAATTATAAATATTTTCATCATAAAAGAGAATTAATTTTGGAATTATTTTGTTTTGGCTCTGAAGTGAAAAATAAAGCTGTAGAGGCCTACAATAGAATAATTATGTAAAAATTATAAAAAAATAAACCGGCTTTTATTAAGGAAGTTTAGTTGATTGTCATTTGATGTTTAGTAAACAAGGGATTAAAAATCTTGATTGATGTTTTGTCCTCTAATTTATGTAAAACATTTCTTCCAAATTTCCTTATAAGATATTTTGAAAAAATCCCGTGTCATTCAAATCTTTACTTTTTATGGATAAAGAAAACCTTTAGCCTCTTCAGATTCTACTCAAAATTCTTTGCAATTTAGGGATGATACTTCACACAAAATTTGCGTTCACACACGATTTGGAGATTTTGTTGGTCTTGGAGAATCTTTAACTTTTCAAGTAGAAGCAGCCATTGAAATTATTAGACAGAATATAACAAAGAATTTTGTTGAATTTTTTATCTTTATTTTTTATTTTTTTTTATTTTAGGAGAAAAGTGTAAATGGGTTTTCTATTATCTTTTTTGGAACAGATCAAAAGTTTTTGAGATATATTAAAGTTATTAATAGTGAGGTATTTTTTAAAATTAAAATTAGAAATATTAGATATTACTATAAGATAGCTCAGAATTAGATAATCCAGAATAACCCTGAATAAGATAACCTATAATAGATACTCCCTAACATTCCCCTAATGAAGATAAGTCTTAAAATTTAGGTGGCAATTGGGTGGAAGGGATTGCTTCTATTTAAGAAGATACACTTGAGGGACTGCCTCTATTTAAGAAGATAAAGGGTGTTTCTTCTAGTTTAATCTGAATATACTTCTTAAATAAAAAAAAACTTTTTTTTCCAAAGGTTTATAACAAAATTTATTACTTTTCTGAAATAAATTTGCAAAGAGGAGTCGAATTATATTTTGCTCAACAATATTGTAATACATTTTTAATTACAGCATTTCTTTCTTCTTATTCTTTTTGGATGGGTTATTTAATGCCGACAGTTTGGGAAAAATAAACAAAAAATTTTAATTAAAAAATATTTTTAAAGGATCGTTTAATATATTATATTCGAAAACATGTTTACATTCTTGGATATCATATTGATGCGAAGGAAGCTTTGCCACCCGATTGGATACCTATAGAAGAGCCTTGGCTTTTCGATCATTTAATTAAACAATATTGATAATTACTTTAACTGATTAATTTACATAGATAAATTATAAATGTTGTTAAATGAATTTCTATCTAGTATCCCTTAGTTAAATATGTACATAGTTTATTCATACAGGCTTTTATTTAAATACCATAAATGCTTACATAATGTCCATCTCTCAAATAATTACCCCCTTTAGAGAGAGGTTGAAACAATAATTACCCTGGGCAATTATTTTAGCATATATGGTAGTCATATGCCATTCCGAGGTTGAGTAAGGTCAGCGAGCATGAACATAATCTTATCCGGTGTACATAGATAATAACAATCTAGGCAAGGTTGACTATCATATCAGTGACTATCTTAAACCATATAAGCTTGCCTGTTTATATACCATAAGCTTGTTTACTCATATAACAATACTATCCACAACTATTATTACGTATAAAAGCAACAGTAAATTGTAATTACAATACCAGACTACAACGACTACAACTTCCAACTTAACCTCACTTGTCTGCTTCTGCTGAATGGGTTATGCAATAGGACAACTTTTGGCGGCTATGCTCTTCCACTCCATCAACTATGGCGCTGTCTGTACTTTTTCATCATTAGCATTGCTCCTGCTTTTCTCGGCAACGATCGCGGCACAATGCGGAAAGAAGAAAAAGAAGGACGCGAAAGGCAAGACGAAGGATACTGTTGAATTGGCAGCACCAGCTGAGGAGGTAAAATTTGGTTTAGGGAAATTCGATCCCTACTAATGAATTGTTTTTTTCTAGACTCCCAAAAAGGAAGAAGAAGCAGCTAATGAACCCAAAGGCAAGAAGAAAAAGAAGAAAGGAGCTGCTGACAAGGACAAGGCGAAAAAACCGGCGCCAGCAAAAGGGCCAGTATTGAAGGAGGAAGGAAAGTCTGAGGGAATTGGTCAAGGATTGGCATATCAAACGCTCGGGAACTTGGATAAGGACATCTTCTTGCAAGGAGCTCCAGGAAAACCGGGACAGGCGCCACCACCTCCAGGCGGCGGAAAAGCACCAGCTGCAGCCGGAGGACCAAAGGAAGTCGATGAGGGGAAACAGGAGGGTATCGGACAGGGCCAAGACTACCAAACGTGGAATCAGCTGGATCAGGTAGAATGATTATACATATTTAAAGTGATTGGAATAGGTTTTTAATATTTACTTTATTCCAGAATGTCTTCGTCAAAAGCAAAGGGGGTGCTGTGCCATCTGATCTTATGAGCAGAAACCCGAATGAAGGAGCGCCGCGTGAGGGTATTGGACAGGGGCAGGACTACCAAACATGGAATGCTCTAGACCAAAATGTCTTTGTCAAAGACGGAGCAAAGGGCGGCAAACAGAACAAGGCTGGCGATGGATCAAAGGTCGATGAGGGGACGCCGCGTGAGGGTATCGGACAGGGTCAGGACTACCAAACATGGAACTCGCTTGATCAGGTAGATTTTTATCAAAAGTTATTGATAAAATAATTGTTATTATACTCCTTCTAATTTTTCAGAATGTGTTCGTGAAGAAGTGAGCGACGACATCTACAATCCTTGTGCCTTGTCTGACTTGAATTCTCGAAAGATGAAATATTCAACCCCTAAAATAATTGTTCAATCGGTGATGTGTGAAGAGGAATGTTATTATTCGATATATTGTGTATATTCATATATAAATGTATTTGTAATTCACACTTCTTTGTAATTACCGGTGTTTTTTTGTAATTAATAATCCCCAAAACAAAATATCTATCTTCGCTTTTGTTTGTATTGTTGATATGTATTGTCTAATAAACATTAAAGTGTTTTATTTTTGGGTCAGCTAAAAAATTTTGAATCAAATTTTTTCCTATTTTATGGAGAAAAAAATATTCGAAAGAGATGAAGAAGTATTGAATCAAATGATTTAATCAAATGATTCACTGGTTTTTTCAAAAAATTTTTTCAAAAGACCCCATTACTGTTGTCAGATTATCACAAAATTTTAGTTTTAATTAATAGCATTTATACTCTAATATGTACATATATTAATCTTTTCGACAAATTTCTCAATGTTTGTTTAACCATTCTTCCTCTATAGTAATCCAATCAGAAGGAAGATTCTCTCTCGAATCCAAATAAAAGTTCTTTCCATATCTATTTAATTGCCATTTTTTCCGAACAAAAAATATAGGTTTATCCTTAAATTAATTTTTTACAAAACATTTTTATTTCAAAAATACCTCAGGCATTAAATAACCCATCCAAAAGGCGTTAGCAGTTAAAGAAGCGGTCAGTAACAAGGAATCACACGACTTTTGAGCAAAATGTAATTCTTCTAATCTACTCATTTCTAAGTCAACCATAAAGTGGATTTTATCGAATAATGACTGAAAATAAAATTTAATGATTTTAAAATTGACGGAGAGGCTTAAGTATCCCCAAAGGGAAAATAAAAAATCCTTTTTCCAATTAATTACCTCATTATAAACATTCTTTAATGAGTTAATGTATTTCCTTTCCATTCCAAAAAGAAGTAGAGAATATAAATGAATACGGCTTTTCTATAAAAGAAAATTATTTTTATCAAAGATTTTATCAAAAAAGGATTAGTAAATGAGAGATTTGAGGATAAAACTTTAAAAAATTTAAAATTAATTTACAACAATTCTCGGAAGAAAATTTCTTAAATATTGAATTGCTTCCCCTATTTGATTTATTGCTGTATCTCCAAGACCAACATAATCACTAAATGGAGTATGTACACACATTTTGTGACTAAAATCATTCCTAAAAATCTTTCGATTAACTTAAATTTACAATCTGACGGACCTCACTATGAGATAACCTTTTGGATTGAAAAATCATCCCATATAATGAGGGTATCTTAAATAGGGGGATTAGACTGCCCCCCCTCTCCAACTCTACGGCCAACAAAAAATATATTAAATGAGGTTATCTCTTTGTATAATGAAGTCCGTTTTTGTATTAAAATTAGAAAAAAACTTAATTAAACAATTTATTTTTAATTAAAGCAACATTCTCATAAACACGCTGACCAAATTCAAATAAATTTAAAATCTTTTTCCTTATATGATCAAAATATAAATAATTCTCAAATTGTATTCCCCCAGTCAACATTAATCCATTAAATTCTTTATATTCAAAAAGTCTTTTTAAAAATATTTTTTAAAAATTATTTATTTTAATTTACATTATTTACATTTCCGGATTGCTGTAAACACAACAAGTTTTTGCCAATTCAACTCTTTTTATTTTATTTTGATCAATTTTATTTTTCTAAAAAAATTTAAATTTTATTTACAAAAAATATTTACTAAGAAATAAATTTTTTTATAAAAATTAGGCATTTGAACACGCAATTTAGCTTCATAATCTCTCATTAAAATGTCATTATGGGAGAAAACAGGGGTTCTATTAAGCATTTGCCCAAAAGCATAAAGTGAAGCAAAACGGAACATCTTTAAATAATTAATTTTCTTTTAAAAATTATTTAATTAAGAATACTTGATTAACAATTTGTCCATAAATTTCTTCTGTAAAAATAAAATATTCAAATTGGGGCTTTTCTTTTGTTGTCATTACTAAAGATTCTAAATATTTGGATGAATTGTTTCCTTCTTCTTTATTAAGTTGTTGCTTTTGTGATAGGGATGATGGTGATGTTACCTTTTTTTGAATTTAGATAATTAAATTGCGAGAAATAGCTACTTTTTTAGTTTATTAGTTTGTTGAGAATTTTAAATTTTTGAGAAGCATGGAAAAAATATAAATATATTTATATATATAAATATAAATATATTTTTTCCAGATATAAAAATATATCAAGTCGATTTTCACTATAAAATGCCATAAACTAAATTTAAATACTCCTCCATTATAAAATACAATTTTACACCCCCAAACATTTTATTTAAAAAACCACACCTGTCCATTTGTTGTCATTTTTTGTTCGTCAATATTTCTAAGTCGAAAATGTAGAAAAACAGATGTCGAAAAAATACAAAAAATATAAAAAAATAATACAAAAATAAATTTTCTTTTAGGGGAATTTTGTTTATTAAAATTGTTATTTGTTGATAAAGAATTTAAAAAAGCTTTAAATTTTGCTGTTCTGATTCTTTTTTGTGATTTTAATTTTTGATATAAAGAAGGCATTCTTAATATTTAAAAAAATTTCATTATTTTCTATTTATAAGTTAAAGGATAATCCCAGAACTGCCCATAGTCTCAAACACAAAATTTAAAAATAAAAAACGGGGTCTTTTGGAAAATGAATCCAATTTGGCCAGTTAAATTGAATTTAAACCAAATTTTATTCTAAATATTCTACGTACATATTTAGTGTATATTGACAAAAAGATTAATGAAAATACGAGAGAATAAAGAATAATTAATTAATTACTCACTCCATACTGCAACGAATAAGAGTAATTAAAAGATAAAATCTTAATTAATTAATTATTTATTTATTTAGATTCCAGTTATTAATTAAAATATCAAAAAAAAATGTCTAAATTATCCAGAACTTTTATTTTTTTCTTTTATTTTCTTTTTATTTTCCAGCCAATTCTCTTCTATTGCGAACCAATCTTTGGGGAGTATTTGCATTGTATCAAATGGATAAATTGTTGTTTTACTTGGATGGAGTAATAATTGCTTTCGTATATAAAATATTGGGAGATTCTTTTAAAAAATAGAGAAATTAAAATTTAAAATTAAATTAATCTATGAAAGTCTTTGGAAGTTTATCTTGTCTTAGAGAGAGAATTCCTTTTGGAATTTTCAAGGATCCTGCCAAAAATCACAGGTTTTTGCAATCTTCGTGATTGACAGAATTATGGAACTACGGAAGCCCTTGCTTTACTGCAAATTTTGTCAGAAATATCCAATAAAATACAAATTAGACTATTAAAATCTTAAAATTATTTAAAATCAAATATTACATTCGGCATTAAATACCCCATCCAAAATGCAAAAGAAGATAATGGAGCAGTAAGAAAAAGAGCATCACAATATTCTCTTGCAAAATATAATTCCCCTCCTCTAGACAAACTCAAATCCAAAACATGATAAATTTTGTTAAATAAAAACTTTAAATTTTTAATTAATTTTGATTAATTATTTAATATACCTTATTTTTATTTATTTTTATTTGATTTAAAAAATTTTTGTCTTCACCGAAAATTAGCAAAGAATATCTTTTATCAATTACATTTCTTTTCTTAAAAAATTAATTTTTTTAAATTTCAAAAATAATTTCCACAAACAATTAATCGAAAAAGTAATTTCGGGATTAATTCAATCAAAGCCTCAACTTGTTCAATAACAGACTCTCCAAATCCAACAAAATCTCCAAAACGTGTATGAATACAAATCTTGCGAGCATTGTCATTTCTTTAAAATTAATTTTAAAAAATTAAAAATTAAATTTAAAAAATTAAAAAACAAAAAATAAATTCTTTGTGTGGCCTCTTCAATTTCTTTAACAATTTCTGGTCCAAATTCAAATAAATTTAATATTTCCTCTCTTAAATGATCAAAATATTTATAACTTTCAAAATAAATTCCTCCAATTAATCTTAATATTTTTGCATTATTTTCTTTTAATAATCTAAAAATAAATAAATTTATTTATTTATTTTTTTAATTAAAGGAAAAACATTTTTGGATTATTATAATCACAACAAGTCGTTGCCAATTGAAACTTTTTTTGAATTTTATATTCTGATTTCTATTTAAAAAATTTTAAGGAAAAAATAAAAACAAAAAAAACCAAAAAATAAATTTGTTTAAAAAAATTTGGAAATATTTTGGATAATTCAACTTCAATATTTTTAATATAATTATCTTGTTGAATATAAACTGGTGTTCTGTTTAATAATTTTCCTATTGCATAAAGAGAAGCAAAACGATACATCTAAAAAATTAATTAGAAAATATAAAAGATTTTTAGAGCTTTAAGGAAATTGAGAGACAAAACTTTAACAAAAAATACAAATTTGTGGAAACCTTTTACCATCATTATTTCCCTCAATTAAAAAAATATTTTAAAAAACTTGATTTCCAAGCTGTCCATTAATTGGTTCTGTTAAAATAAATTTATTAAATTCTGGTTTTATTTTTTTCTCAAATTCTGTATCCACCAACATTGAATTTAAATGAAATAACTAATAAATCAAGAGAATATTTAATTTTAACAAAAACCCTTATGTATACCTTTTCTGTTTCAGTTCTTTTTAAAAACAATTTTTTAATTTCAAATTTTTCGACATCTTCCTTCGTTTTATTTTTTGACAATTTATTAATTAACACAATTAAAATTAAAGAAATAATTATTGTTTTTAAAAATATAATTATTAAATTGGAGAAATAGGACATTTTAAATTTAAAAAAATAAAAAAACAGGCCCTCTCTACAAAATATATCAAATATTAGATTAACTAAATTTAAGATACGCTTTTCAAAATTACCGTAACCGTTACCCCTTATACATATAAAATACCCCCTCCCCCCACATGTGTCTATATCTCGTAGAGAGGTCCGATTTTATTACCTAATAAAATTTTCTTTTAATTATTTAGCAGAAAAAAACCACAAAAAATAATATTTTTAAATCGTTCAAATTCTAAATCCTTCTCTATCCACGCAACAGGATGATTTATTAATTTTTCAATATTTATTAGATAATATCTTGTCATCTTTTTAATTAAATATATTTTTTAAAAATTATTTGGGTGGTCTTTCTATTTATTTTTTTATTTAATTGTTTTATCTAAAATAATATTAGAAATTATTTTGAAGAAAAAAAAAGAATGTAAAATATTAACACGAGATGAAATTATGGATGATGGGCTTTTTAAATATAAATATTTTCACTAATACACAAACAAATTCAAATCATTTTTACATAAAAATTAGACAAAACTTGTAAATCCTTATAAATATTTATTGCCCTTTTACACGTTTAAATTTATTTTTAAATAAATTTCTGAATGTTTTTTCGTATTATTTTCAAACAAAAATTATTTTTAGTAAAATATTCAATGGAAAATTGGAAAAGAATTTTTATTATTTTATTTATTATAACAATTTTATTTATTTCATTAAAATATTGGCAATCAGAATTTTTAAATGAAAATTCTGTTCTTAAGGAGGAAAGCAAAATTGAAGAAAATTTAACTAATTTAAATAAAACAAAATGTAATAAATGCCCAAAATCAGAAAATTTAAGAATTAAATTTTTTGAAGAAAATTCGGATAAAAATAAAAATTATTGTGAAGGAGAAAATGTAAGAAAAAAATTAATTAAAATATTAATTTTAATTTTTATTTTTAGATGGCATATCCATTATTATTAAACAATAAGGATTGTTGTGAAATTAAATGGGGAAAGAAGTTTAATTGTGATTTACTTGGAATTTTGGAGAAATATAAATTAACAGACAGAAGACACAGAATAATTGAAAATATTCCAGTAAGTAGTGCTGGGGTATGGTTGGAGCCGGCTAAGTAGAAGTCTCTGCCCCTAAATTGGAATCGGAGCTGGATATTAATTATAAAAATATCGGCTTCAGAGAGAGAAACAAAACATCGAATCCCCAAGCACTTAAAACAAATTTAAATAATTTCCTCCTTTTCAGGTTCATCATTTGGAAGATGGTTCTGTAATTGTAACAGCTTCTAATACAAAATATTTTCCCTTTATGAAAGCTAGTATCTATGATATTCGATTTAATCTGGGAACAAAAACAAAAATAATTGGTTATGATTTGGGTGGAATTACAGAAAATAAAGAAATGGTTTTTTTGGATTTTAGAAAAATTATTTATTTAATTAAAGATGAACGAATTAGAAAAAGTTTGTAATTTTGAATGGCGAAAATTCAATTTTTCTGTTCTTCCTGAAACTGTAAGAAAACCAACAGTTTTTGCATGGAAAATTGTAATCATTGCGGTAATATTTATTTAAATATAAATATATGTATGTACAGTCAGACCTTATTATAAAAAACGTATAACAGAAAAATGGTACTTATAATGAGGTTAGCTTAAATGAGGGGTTCCACTTTTTAATAATCAACCAACAAATGTATTTTATATTGAAGTATATTATTTGGAGGTATCATATAATGGTTCATCACATGTTAATTGTTAATAATAACCACTTATTGTGGATAATTTTCAAACATTTTATCTAAGATTTTAAATTTTCAAATAATTTTCTAAAGGAAATTTTAAATGAGTATCCAACAATGATATATGCCGATGCTGGTGTGCGATTTTATTATGATGGGTTTAATAATTATTTTGATAGAATTGAGGATGGAACAATTAGTGGATTACAAATGCCTAGTGATTCTGGGCATAGTATTGCCTTTGCTACACATCCAGGTAATTAATAAATTATTTCTTAGGAAAATTAATTATTTAAAGATTTTTACAAATATATTCCACATTATTGGGAGGAAATGTCTGAAAAGTCGTGGAAGGAAATGCATGAAGCAAATTTTATGATTATTCATAGAAATGAATATACAAGAAAATTATTAAAATGGTTTGGATATAAAAAATAATACATTCAATGCTCACTAAAAATACTCTTAATACAAGATAATCTTAATTTAAGATAGGCATTTTTGTCTAAATTTAGTTGGCAATAGCGGAGCTGTCTAAGTCACCATTTAAAATAAAGATTATAAAATACAAATTTTTCACCCTAAGGCGTGAGGTAATGAGGTCCGATTTTTTAAGCTAAGTCCAATTCCAATCCTTTAGTGAGGACCAGCTTTATTTAAATCTTTTAATTTTAGGGCAATATTGTGTGCATATACATTAGAATGTATAGACCCTCCAGGCTCTACAATAGTTTGTGAACATCCTTATGTAGGCATTGCTAAATGTCATAGACAAGATCAAAGTATTATAAATATTTTAACAAATAATTTGGAAAAAGAAATTTTATTGGAAGGTTTTTATATATTTTTATTTAAAAAAATATTTAAATATTTAAGGAAATGAAAGAAAGTTTTATTCCCACTATGATGATCAAAATCCGAGAATATATCCAAATGGCTTTTTTAATATAATGAGAAGATTGCCCCTTAGAAGAGATTTTAATTTTGAAAAGACTGTAAAATGTAATTAAAGAACAATCGGATCTCAATATAAAGGTACACAATTGAGGTTAGGAAATTGTACTCTATAATGAGGTTATTAATTATAGAATAATTTATTTTATTATTACTTCAATTTTTATTATTGCCCCTTGGGTATTTTTTGTTAAATACAGTAATAATTATATACATATTAATTAATATTTAAGATAATTATACCAATTATTTAATTGTATGATATATTTAATTATTCATATTTATTATGTAATATTTAATTGTAAAATGATTAAAAATAAAATCTTTTTTATATCCTTTGGAGATTGAATAAATTTGAAATCTTCCCAAAAAATATATTCACATTTAAATAAAAATTCTGCGCAACTAAGGTTTTGTGAAAATCGATTTTGTCACATGCACACGCCAGCCGCCCCTTTCTTATTCTCAAACGTAAACAACAAAGTGTTTATTTTTAAGAAAAAATTTTTTAAATGCTCTTTTTTGACTTTTTATTATTTTTAAAAAATATTTAAATAAATATATATTTTTATTTTTTAAATATTTCCAATTGATTTACAACGTTTAAAAATGAAAAGGTAAGCGAAAAATTGGTTAAAATAAAAAAATAAATAGAGTTGATTTTCTTAACCCTGGCGAGACTTACGAAATTTATGAAAAACGTGCACATTCTCCGTTGAATTACCCCCGATCAAGTTCTTCTCCAATACAAAATTATCACTCTCCTCAACAACAATATATACCTTCTTCGCCTTCATACACTTTTGTTCCAATTCCAGAAAAGAGACAAAAAAGTATTTAATTTTAAATAATCAAAAATACAGTTGAATATCCCCACTATAGGATACAATATTGGGGCTAGAAAAATTGAACAGAGATGGTATCAAAAAAAATTATCACTTTCCCCTTTCCCCTTTTAAATGGGAAAGGGGAAAGTGTCATTTAGGCAGTCCTTCAGGGTTCGAATGTATTTGTTTTTATTTTTTAAGTCTCTATTTGGTGGATAATTGGAATAGCTACACTTGCCCCTATATTTATTGTTGTTATGCTTTTTCTTGCTGTTTGGCTTCAGGAAATGGGAATTATTTAAATTAGACGAGATTTACCTCATTATTAGGGCTGGGAAAAACATGCAAATGCATGTTTTGTATGCGGATATGCCTTGATGAGAGAAGCCCAAAAATGGTATTTTTACATTGGTCCGAGCATTTTAGGACCCGGTTCCTAATGCATATTTTTGCATATTTCGGCCCTCTCGTGCATATTTGCATATCGATGCATATTTTGGCAAATTTTGCATATTTTGCTCCATATTTCGGCATATTTTGGTAAATTTTAGTAAAAATTGGTCAAAATTTGAAAATTTTTGGATTTTTTTTTGCCAAAAAAATTTTTAGAAAAATTTTTTGAAAAAAAATTTTCTAAAAATTTTTTGAGAAAAAATTTTTTTCAAAAATTTTTTTGCGAAAATTTAATGTTCATAAAATTTTATTGAGATAATCTAAAATTGCAATTTTAAAGACCAAAATAGTGTTTTATACTTAAAAAATTGAATTTTAAAACAAATTTTCGCCATTTTTTGCTGCATATGTAGTGCATATTTTGGTGCATATTTTGGGGTTTTTCGGTGCATATACATGCGCATATTTGGCGATTTTGCGTGCATATTTTTCCCAGCCCTACTCATTATACATTTATATATTTTATTAATTATATTTTTTACAAAAAATAAAATTACTCGTTTTTAATTTTAAAAAGTGTTAAATTAATGAAATGTTTTCCATAAAGTACATGCCTGAAAATATTTTTTAAGAATTTAAAAAAATCGAATTTTACCAAATTATGGCCAAGATTACTAAATGAATTAGGCTTTGGTGATATTTCTTCTACATTAGATTGACGACTATTTTGTTGTCGTTGCTGCTCTTTAGGTGAAGGCAATCGACGAACTAATGCACTTAAAATAGAAAGGAAATTATAATCTCCAATTTGTGACAGTCGGTCCTCACTTAGAAGATACACCTTGGGGCTAAAAATTGTGGAGGTATATTTATGAGTGTATTTGATATTGAGGACTAACTTCACAGACTCTTTATTAACCTAAAAGGACTATGTTCTCTTGCAGATTGTGTTGTTCTAGAACCAACAGAACTCCTAGCACGACCACCACCAAATAATAATGGAGGAAGGTGTGTTGTGTTAGAAGGAGGGAATGAAGGCCTGCTAGGTTGTTCAAGTGATAAACTATGTAGACATCCACGCTAAATTTAAGATAAAATTTAGTTAAAAAATTTTTAGTAAATGAAAATCACCTCAATCCATGACTTTCTTCGTACTTGATTAACAACACCTGTATTTCCCATTCCACCAAAAGTTGGTCCGGTAGGAAGAACACTTTCATCAGACAAATCACTTCCATTACCTTTTATGTTTGTATTGAAAAAAAGTCGGTCGGGTTTTGGGAATTCAAATTTCTCAGGTCGGAAAAAAGCCCGGGTATCGGGTAACCCGACCTATCCCTATTATACAGTTGAATCTTACTATAAAATACACCCATAACTACTAGATACATCTCTAACGTTTTTTAAAACTTGGTCGGCCACAAAGTGAGTGAGAGATGCCCAAGTGATACCCCAGATACCCCCTAATTGTAGGATACAATTTTTCAACCCCAAAATTTTTTTCATGTCTAGCTTTATTTTAAGCATTTTCCAAAAAAACTTACAAAGTCTTAAAGAAACTTCAGATTCAAGTGAACATCTCGAATCTTTTGATTCTCTTCTTTCAGTTAAAGCGCCAGCTACCGATCCAATACCCCCACCCCTATCCTCTTCGAGTCGACCATCTGCCGAAAGAAAAGACATTTTACGACTGTCCCCTCCAATTGAAGGCCTTGTTGCCGCAGTAATTAATAAACGGGGAAGGTGATTAGAAGACATTGAAACACGACGATTACAGAGACGGCGACTATTGTAAAAGATTCAAATTTCCGAATTAAAAAAATTGATAAGAGAATAACTTACTAATTATTTTCCTTTAGTTGAGTATCGTCTGAATCATAACGAAGTTGTTCAATTATATCCAATAAAATTCGAGAGGAACTCATTACCTTAAATTTATATTTTACTTAAAATTTTGAATTAAAGTATGTATATATTGTAATGGCAATAGTTTGTGGTATTTATTGGATTGGAGGTTTTACAAGAAAATTTTTCATATCATACAATTCTGGTATTCTAACATTACACAAAATCTAGGTAAAACTACATATTTCTGCTTGATTTATTAACTTTAAAGCACAGAGGCTAATAAACTTTATTTTTCATAAGTCCAATTGCAGACTTTTATCGTTTAATTTTATTTAAAATTTAAAAAATACAAACATCATCAAAATGAGCAGGAGATATTTCTGGCAAAGCCAAACCAAGAACTAACTAAAAAATATAATAAAAATATCCAATTAGAAAAAAATTTATGCAAAATTAATAGATCTATGATTTTGAGAGACAAAATTAAATTATTTAACTATGTCTAACAACAACTTTTTAAATCTTGTCTATATTTGGCTAATTTTATAAAATTGAATACATATTTTTAGCATTTTCAGTATCCTTCCCATCCCTAATAATAATTTTTATTTAAAAAATATTTATTTACAGGATTAAGTAAATGATGGGCAATAACAAGAGGATCACTAAAACGGCTAACATCACAAGTTAGAATTCTTTGAACAAGACGGGATTTTGAATGGACTATAGCTGGATGTAATGTTGAGCAAACTGAAGATAAAGTTAATAAATATTGAAGTGTTTGGGTATCACAACGATCACTTAAATGTCCAATAGCTACAAGTAGATCTATTTGACGCTTAAAATTTAAAAAAATGTTTAATAGAAAGAAGGGAGGGGAGACACAAATTACAGTCGAACCTCAATATAAGATAGGTAATCAAAAATACACCAAATCTTAATTTAAGATACGGTTTTAATAAATTGATTTAAAATTTTGATAGGAGACACATATTAAAGATAAACGTGATTATAAGATACAATTTTCAGCCCAAAGCGTTATCTTATACTGAGATTTGACTGTATATTATTTAAATAAATAATTAAAAACATACAGAAACTTGCTCTTGAAAGAATTGGGCCTGATTTTGTAAAGTTGGAATTAATCTTTTACTTAAATAATTATTAGGAATAAATTCAACAATATGAGGTAATGTACGGACAGAATTTTGCTTTAAAAATTAAATAAAATAATTTAAATTATTTATTTTAAAAACCTTTAAATGAGGATCTGTTCCATTAAGAAAATAAATTAATAAATCTAAACACCGATCTTCTACTTGTTCATCACTTAAACGTCTTAAAATAATTGGCATATGTGAAAGTAGAGATTGACTTAACTATAAGAATTTTCTTTTTAATTTTAATTCTCAATTCCCCATAAAATCAAAACATACAGATTTTTCTTCAGCTGCAGCAGCAATTTGTCTAAACCAGGGCCTCAATCTGTGTATATTATGACTTTCACAATTCTTTAAAAAATTATAATTTAATTTTTAAATAAAAAAGTACTTTAAGCATGTAACAAAGGGGACTAATTAGTGCTGGCATTAATTCTGTTGTCCCTTGTAAATGTTCATTAAAACGACGAAGCACTCTTCTAAACCAAAGAGATTCTGGGATTTGTGGGAGAATTGCACTTAGAGACTTGAAAATTTTTTAAAAATATTTAAAAAATATTTTAAATTTATTTACATGTCTAAGAAAGGCTGCTTTATTGGCTGGGTCAAATTCTTGTGCCAAATCATCTAATTGTCTTAAAGCACCAAGTGATGGTTCATCAAAGTGTTTTATCTTTAATTTTAAATTTATATTTAATTAAATATTTATTTTTAACTAAAGCAAGCATTTGAATAGCCGGACGTTGTTCTACTTCTTTAGATAAAACTTTGACAAGTGATGCTTTCAAATTAGGCCCAAGTTCGTTAGCAATTAATTGTAATCCAATATCTAATTGTTCTATTACTATTTGATAACTTTCCAAATTATTTTTAACATCAATAAGTCTTTTTCCATCTTTAGAAATAAAATTAATTTTTTGATGTTAGTTTAATCGAATCTCAATAGAAAATAATCCCTTAGGCACGCAATGACCAACCGAATTATTAAACGCGTATCCTAAATTGAGGCGGATCTTATAAAGTGATCCGACTGTAGTGCCGTTTAGGACTCATTTCTCCATTTTAAAAAATGATTAAAAATGCTAATTTTATAAATAAATAAATTGATATTTTCCATAAGCTAACTAAAAAAGGGCCCCAAGTGACACAATTATCATTAAAGAATATTTTTACTTGAATAAATCCAACAAATTAGAACCCCGAGTGAAAATACATCAGCAGCCAATGTTACTGTTTGTGCATTCTGAATTAAATATTCGGGAGCGAGAAACTGAAAAAATAGATACAGATCACCTATTAAATTAAGTAAATATACATCCAAATCTGGTTGAAGACAGGCTGGAAGCTTTTTTGTCCATGGAAAGCAAGGAAATATTCCCTTTGAAAAAAAGGAAATAATTTAAAGAAAAATTAATTTACAGGCTTTTTAGGTGCTACAGAGAAAGCAAATCCTCCAATTTTCCAATGCTGAAAGGAAGTAACGAAGACAGCCTGAGGTGTCAAATTTCCATGAAGAATTTTTGCATTATTGTGTAAATAAGAAAGTCCCTCAACTAATTGTAATACCCCCAATTTCATTTCCAATTTATCTAGCAGTAATTGTTTACTATCTTCTTCTGATTGCCCATTAATATTAAAATGTTGCTCATCTTCTCTTTCGAGTAATAATTTATCTAGTGTACAATATAAAGGTTCAGATGCAAAACCAATCAGTTCTCTACAAAATAAGATTAAATTACAATCTCCAATACTAAATAAATATCAACTTAAGAAGATATTGTTTTTGAATTCGGTTGGCGATTGGGGAAGGGGGCTGCCAAATCTATACTTCCCAAGGATGTATTAAATAGTGGGGTCCATATATTTTATTAATATTTTTGAAAATTTCAAACTTATTTTCCACTAAAGGATGTAAAAGTCGTAATATTCGAGGATGTACAAGTTGTTGCAATTGAGACAAATCGTATTTTAATAAATCTGAGAGTCCGAGGCGATTAGCACGACCTAGCCTGGAAGGTCCTTTCACGTTACATTTTTTGTCAAATAAAAGAACAGATGCATCCTGTTCGTAAAATAAAAATTATTCTCCTGTTCTCAAAATCCCTCTAAAACTTTGTCAGTTCCAACAGTTGCTTGTGCAGTAAAATGATGCCAATGGCCAGAAAGTATTTGACCGGTAGCTTGAAGGCAATGAAATTGGGAGTCTAAAGGTGTTGGCAATGCAGGCAATGTGGACGAAGTGAAGAAACGGTGAGGAAGTAATGGAAGGCCAGTGACTGAAGAAATGGTAGAAGAGGTAGAGCAAGTTGAACCACTCCTTTTTGCGCCTCCATTAAAGCCCGATTTAGAATTGGAACGTTGTTTTTGTTGAGGTGATTGAACTCTAGATGAAGGTCTTAAAAGAAAAGATTTTAAACAAAGTTTAAACCTCGCCCTAAGATATTCTCAAAATATATTTTATTAAATTTGATTGTAAATATAATTTTAAATAATCACCTTTGGTCTATAATTAATTCATTTTTTAAATGTCCATTTCCAGTTAATTCAGCAGCTGATAAAGTTCCAGGACTGGATGCGACTCTCAACGGGGTTTCGCTGGGAATATCATTGTTGCTTATAACTAGCTGGTAAACAAAAAATCTATTAAAATATTTTTTCAATTTTAAATTTACTTGGTGAGGATATGGAGATTTTGATAATTCTCTTGTTTCAATCTTTCCACTCATGGGAAATGCATTTTATTGCGACAAGATGAATTAAAGAATTTTAATAAAATTAAAAATAATCCCTCAAAAGGATTATCTTGGAAGAATTATTTTAAAAATTTTTTAAAATTAATTTTCTTCTGTGGGGAAAAATTAAAAGATTTAAAGGATGTTTATTAAAAAGAATTTTAATTGAGAAAGTATATACAACCAGTCCTATCCATTTAAAAATCGGATATAGACAAGTTCGGATTTAATAATCAAAGAATTTATTTCAAAATTCCAAGTGATATTCTTCTTAACTAAAACAAAATTGTCAATTTGTTTATAAAAAAGCTATTTTCATTTTACAAATTACAAAAAAATAAGGAGAAGCATAGTTTATGTAATTCTTATGCATTTAATAGATGTAGATGAAAGGAAAAGCAAATTACCTATGAGTAGTTACCCCCCCCCCCACTTTGTTACAGTAGTGCAACAAAGAGGGAAGGGTGTGTAGGCACCAAAATGTGAGGGAAACTTTTATTTTCGTACCACCCATTTTTAGTAGTAACCCCACCCCCACTGTCCCATCTGTCCCAGTTGAACAGAGAGATGGGGGGGTGAGAAGGAAATGACCTTGACAAATTTCTTGTACAAGTACAAGGAAATTTGCGAGTGAATGAGGGTGATTAAACGAGAAGGTGGAGAAAGGTTCCCGTTACTAAATTTCTCCCACCTATTCCAGATAGTTAATTTTGAGGAAACTGTCGTCATTCAAAGGGAAATCTAAGGACTTAGATGAAATTTTCTGACAAAAAATCGTTGTATACAATACATGAAATGTATGGGAAAGTGTGGGTAGGATAAAGGGAAACCAAGGATTACTGTAGAAAGGGAAACTTCTACAGTAAAACATTAAATAAAGAAGAATTTTAAAAATTAAGGGAAAATAAATATATTGGCTGTTTCTCCTCCAAAGTTCATTTCCGTAAAAATAAAAAAATAACACCTTTGGAGTAAATTTTCTTTTCTACTGTTGATTTCGGGAATTTTTTAAAAAATTTTAAATTTATAAAAATAATGAAATTTTGTAAAAATTACGAAATTTCGCAATAAAAATCTAAAATAAAATTTTAAAACTTAAAAAACTAAAATATTTAATAAACAAAATAAAAATAGTTTAAAAGTCATATTAATTAAATAAAAATATAAAAGAAAAAAATATTAGTCAAAATTTTGAAAAAAATTAAAATGATTTTTAAAAATGGGCGGAAGTACAAATGTAAGGGGAATTTGTCAAAATACAGTATCTACCAATTATTACAGTATGTCAAATTACAAAACGTTAGTTGGCGGGAAATTCAAATTTAAAACTTTTTCTTAAAAATTTCGAAAGAGTGGTAATTTCAGTCTGGGACTGCAACTAGGAATTTTACTCTAGGACAGAAATATTTTGGACCGGTAATTTCAGTCTGGGCTTAATTATTTAGGGAGAGGGTCCAGAATATGGTTACAGAAAAGTCAATAGTGTAAATTCGAATATCTAATTAAAATAAATTTTAAAATTAAAATTAATGAAGAGCAATAGTGCAAAATTTAAGGAAAAATTTAAATGATTTAAAAAAATGTGCTGAAGTACAAATGTAAAGGAAAAATAATGAGACCTTGATACTGATAAAAAAATTTCGATACAAACGATCTTGAATCTACCGATTATTACAGTACGCCAAATTTAAATGCCAATTGCGGAAATTTCAAATTAAAAATATCATTGTGGGAATGAACTATTTAAAAATGGTCATTTCAGTCTGGGTTGAAATTGAAAATTTAAGTCTGGGGCTGAACTATCAATAACTGGTAATTTTAGCCGGAGATTGAACTATTTAATATGGGCAAATCAGGCTGTGACTGAACTATTTAGGATTGATAAACTCGTCTGGGGCTGAACAGGAAATTTCAGTCTGTGATTGAATTATTTAGGACAGGGAATTTCAGGCTGGACTAAAATAGTTACTTTTGGGAATTTCAGTCTGGGGCTGAACTATTTTGGGTACCGGATCTGGGATAGGATTATAGAATGGTTAAGTGTAAAATTTATAAAAATTGATAATTTTAGTCCGTGTCTGAAATATTTATGACTGGGAATTTGACTCGAATTTTAATATTTAGTACTGATAGTCTAAGTCTGGTGGCGAAATTTTAGGACTGGGAAGTTGAGGCTTTGGGTGTTATATTTATGATGGTAATTTGAGCCTGAACCTGAACTATTTAGGTGTGGAAATTTGAGACTGATCTATTTAGTACCGTGAATTTTAGACTGGGACTGAACTATTTAGGAATGATTTTGAGTTGCAGCTGAATTATCTTCGCAATTAGGTTCGGGATGTGTTACAGAACAATCAAGATGTAGCTTTGTTATTTAAAAACTGCCTCGAAATCTCAGATGATTGATGAATGATTAACGAGATTGTTGTAAATATTTTTCTATCAACCTTTTTTACTCCCCATACAAAAAAAATAAAAGTGCAGACCTTAAATCTTTTTTAATTTTTAGATTGAAAAAAAGAAAAAAACTATTAACAATTAAAAAGCCTTAAAATGTCTTTTAATAACGGACAAAATGGACCTTCTGCAAGCAAACGTCCAAGACTCCTCATCGAGAAACCCATTTCCCACATATCCAATGACACACAACACGACGCGTGTGCAAATCAACCTAAAAATTATTATCGACAAATCGACTACGATACAGCGTTTAATAGAAAATACAAGATGATGGGAACAACAGGAAAGTTTATTATAGAAAAAATATCCGAAAACCCTGAAGAGTTATTGAAAAAAATTATTCAACAAAGTATGCATCAGACCATAGAAGCTTCAAGGAAGGAATCAATTGAACCTGACCGATTAGGAGCCATAATTTCTTCACAGATACTAGATAACGACATATGGATACCTATCAGAAAGATAGAGAAAGACACAATAGAAAACATACTTAATAGATTCCAACTAGTTTCTCAATCTAAGATAGAAAAGGGATCACTTTATGGGCATCCATTCACGATAAAAATTCAGACGCTAGGTATTTCATCACTTCCCACAAATCAACCAATTAGAGGACGCGCACCTCAGATAAATTCAGCAGCAATCGCTAATATAAATGTTGACCGATTAATAAAAATCTCAAACTCCGATAATTTATGTTTATTCTATGCCTTAGAAATAACGAGAAAATATGCTACTAAAGAATTGGGAGATAGAGTTAAATTTAATAGATATCTGCAATATAATCATCGTCAGAGGGAAGATGTTTTTTGTCTACTAAAAGCAGCAAAAATTCCTCAAGATCTCCCTGAATATGATGCTGTGGAATATGTACCAATTATTGTAGATTTTTGGAATGATAAATTTAAGGATACAGGTTATAAATTTAAAGTATTTATTTTTGGAAGTGATAATGAGAAACCTATATTCAAATATGGAAACGATAATTTCAACATACCTATTTCAATTTATCACAAGAATAATCATTTTGACGGAATAAGATTTGTTGGAGGTATTTTCGGTTTGAAACACAAATATTGCTTTAGTTGTGAAAAGAAATTCAGAAAATCGAAGGAACATGACTTTAGATGTAAAGCCCTTTGTATATTTTGTGGACGTATTGGAAGTGAACGCCCGTGTGTGGCTACTGGAAACTTTTTCAAAAAATGTGATGACTGCGGAAAAAAATATTTGAATGAAGAATGCTTCAAACATCACAAAAAAACCAGCAACTGTAGACAAACGAGAATTTGTGAGAAATGCGGTATTATATGGTCAATGAAAAATTATAAAAGAGAGGTTGAAAAGAAGCATGTGTGTGGGCAGAAGTGGTGTCAGATTTGTCGACAATTTCACAGTATGGATAGAGGGTGTTTCATTCGACCTTTGGAAACTAAAAAACCAGCTGATTATCGTCTGGTAACTTTCGATTTTGAAGCAACCCAAAATGAAAAAATAAATAACTGTAATGAAGAAAGGCGGCTTCACAAGGTAAATTTCATTGCCGCAACAGTAACATGCACAAAATGCATGGAAAATGAACAGTTATGGCGTTATCCTCTGAGACAAAATGGAAACAGCTGCGTAATCTGCGGAAACAATCGATCAATAACATTTTCACAGCGTCCGTTCACTCAAACAAAAGTTGATAAACAAATCGTCACAGAAAACCCGCTTAAATTCTTTATTCAATGGATTCTATTTGAACTCAATCAGCAATATACAACAATGGCATTCTCACACAATGGAGGGCGTTATGATATGATTATGGTGTTCAAAGAAATTTATCTGAAAGGACTTGGCCCGTCAATGATTCGTCGTGGAAATAAACTTTATGAATTAAAAATTCCTCGCAACAGCAAATGTAATGAGGTTATATTCCGGGACTCGTATAACCTTTGCCCAGTCGCCTTGGGGAAACTGATTGGCGCATTTGGGCTACAAGTAACTGATAAACAATTTTTTCCGCATATGGCAAACATTACCGCTAATTATGGTATAACTTTACAACAACTACCTCCAAAATCTGATTATTTATGTGAAGGAATGAGTCCTGACAAGCAAAATGAATTTAATAAATGGTATGAATCAGAAAAGAATAATCAATTTTGTTTGGATGAAGCTTTGGCTGAATATTGCACAAATGATGTACAAATACTTACAGAAGCATTGATTGCCTTTAGAAAAAAATTTACGGAAATCAGCAAAAAGAAAAACACACAACCTGGAGCAGAAAAAGAGGGAATTGATATTTTAAGACAAGCAATGACTATCGCATCGGCATGCATGAAACATTTCCGACTCAATCATCTACAACCTGAACATTTAGCAATTGTTCCCGAAAAAGGATATGAAAACATTGATAATCAAAGTGAGCTTGCCTTAAAATATTTACAATGGTATGAAGAAACAAAAGGAGTGGAAATTCAAAGTGCACACTCGGAAGGTGGAGAACACATAGTGGCTGGAAAATATAAACTTGACGGCTATATAGC